ATCAAATTATCCAGTTACCAAATTGCTGATTACCAAATTGTCGGTTACCAAATTGTTGGTTACCAAATTATTAGTTACTTGTAGGGGGATAATTTTAGAGGGCCGGATGTTTGTAGAGGGATATTTTTAGGGGGATATTTGTAGGGGGATATTTTTAGGGGGATATTTGTAGAGGAATATTTGTATGGAGATATTTGTAGGGGGATATTTGTAGAGGAATATTTGTAGGGGGATATTTGTAGCAGGATATTTGTATGGGGAAATTTTTAGGGCGATATTAAAAATATAAGAGTTATTTTGAGCTTTGTTAGATGAACTTTGAATGTTATAGTAGACCTTTGATCATTCAAACTATGAATTTTTAAAGTAGGTTTGAAAAGAAACCGGTTCATAACATCAGATTTTTAAAAAAATTTCGGTTTTGGCAAACATTTAATTCCTTTATCGTGTCCAAATCAATAAAATAAAGTACTTTTTGTGTGCATAATGACATATGTATATTGATTTAAAGTTTACCTTTTTGACTCCAGACTCCAAAAACCCTTTTTAACCCTATAAAGGCTGGGGGTCTGAATCTATTTAAAGCCTGGGGGGGGGGGCGTTTGGCGTATTGTATTGGGTTGAAATGCATGGTTATAGCCCAATTTTTAAGGCTCATAGAAAAAAATAGACCAATAACTTTAATAGTTTGGGTGCTAGGGGAGGTTGAAAAAAATGCCTAAAAAGGTACAAAAAGTGAAAAAAATATTCTCTTTGTTTTAAACAAATATCAAAGTGTGACACATGTTTCTACATGCATTTTTCAAGGGCTTTTAAAAATATAGTTTTTAGATCTGAAGCTTTAGTCACAAAAAGTTGTAAGCTATTTTAGATTTTTTTTTTCACAGACAAGACTTTTTTCCGCCCTGTACCCAACCCTACAAATTGAAAAAAAATATCAAAAAATCCTATAAATTATAATTCATTAAAAGTCAAAAAAATGTTGCGGTGTCGAAAATGAGAGTGCTAGGACAAAGAAAATACAGGGGGGGGGGGGGCGCCAATCGCCCCCCCCCCGCCTGTTTAGGTTTAAAGAAGAATTTGGTTTTAAGGTCCTTTTGTCCAGTGTCTGTAGACTGACAACTGACAATTGTGTTAAATAAATTTTATCGCTGCTATAACAAAGTTTACGTTCATATTTCTTAGAAAACCAAGAGAGAGAGAGGGGGGGCACCCCTTCGATCCCCTCTACCCCCCCCCCCCCCCTCCCTCCCTTCCACTTCCCTTTAATAAGTTTTCAGGATTTTCAAAAATGTGAAATTGATAAACTTTTTTAATTGTAGAAGTTTGAAAATGAATAAAGTTGTAATTATATTTTAGACTATTCTAATTTTTATCTTTTTCAACTTTTTTTTTATTCCTTGATAACCAAAAATAATCAAAAATCATTTTCTTACTTGAAATATTGTACAAAATCATGAAATACGTTAAAAAAGGCAAACAAAAATGTATTTTTATCCTTCACCCGAAAGTAAATGAAAGGTTATTTGTACTTTTTACAAGATTAGCTTTCCATTGCTTAGTTTACAGAAAATTGCCAATTTTGCCAATATAAGTAATGTCAGACTAAGCCACAAATTCAACGAAAACAAGAAATATAAAAGAACTTAATTAATTTTATTTGAAATCAAGTTTAGTTGTTTAAAGTTAGTAGTGGAAGTAATCAAAGATGGCCGTTAATATTCAGTTGAACTTGAAACAAAACACACATATCTTTGAAAAAAAAATAGTGGGCTTTCGCGGAGAGTGAGGCACATATTAAAATCAGCTCTCTACATGCAAAAGAATGTCATTTACTCAAAGAAATAAAAATGGAATTAATAAATTTTTAAACCCAAGGGCACGAGTTAATAATGCATCATACATTGCATAATTCATGCAATTCGTCATTCAGTTAAAATAGTAAAAAACAACCTTGCAAGGAAGTTAGAACAGGAAACCCCATATTTATGCTTACAAATATAGTGTACTGCATGTTTCCAATCGGAATTCCGTTGCGCGGAATGGTTCAAAAATGTTCTCGTATTGCGCGGAATTAGAAGAATTGTGCGGAAATAAAGGGCCTGGAATTCGCGCAAGTGAAACCCTAACTGCATGCAGGAATTTTAACAAAACTGAACGAAATCTACCTACCTACTGGCAATGCAATGTTTTATTTAAATTCCTTAGTCTCCACGGAAACCAAAGTACACATTGTTTTATAAACATGAGATATGGGGGTTCATGGTAATCCGTTTCGTTAACGAATTAAATGATTAACTGTTTTTGCCATTCGCTAACGCCAACGGACTCTTCCGTTATTTTTTGTAAACCTTGCACATAGACCTCACATCTTGTGCCGCCTATCTGCCTTTTAAAACAAATATTTTTATATGATACAGGGTGTCCCACGAAACATGACAGTTTGTGAATTAGTTTAGAATGTCTTCTTCCATAATTGAGTTGTTTGATACCAAAGACAATAATAAAAATATTATTTAGGAGTCATTTTGTAGTATAATTGATTTCAAAGTAAAATATTTTTAAACAAAAGATTTTTCTAACGAAATAAACTGCAAAAAGCCTTTAATATCTAATACAGTATAGTATATAGACGACATTCATAACTATTTATCAACTGTCATGTTTCGTGGGACACCCTGTACTTAATATTCTTGTTAATGGCAAGGTTTCTGAATGACAGAATATTTATTTGAAACTTCATTTTTAATAAGAAACTGCAAATCATAACTTTCCTTCATTGCTTAATTATTCATAATATTTTCCTCATTTATCTACTTTCTCCTTTTCTTTCATCTTTCATCTTTCACTTTTAGTATTTTTTTTTGTAATTTTGTTAAAGGGAGTGACCGGCTATGTAAGGTAGTTGAACTGAGTATGCAGTGTTGTCGAAAACTTCTTTAGGATTCATTTGAGACATATTTCACTTTTTAAAGATCTGTAAATCCTGAGTTTAAGCGCAAATTCGACGTTCAAAACTCCTGATTTGGGGGTGGATACGCTTTCAGAATTAGTTTTTTTTTAAATTATTAATTAACGACGACATAAAATGTAAAAATATTCTACATTAAACTACAGCTACGTCAGGAGTTATGAACATCGAATTTGCGCTCAAACTCAGGATTTACAGACTTTTAAAAAGTGAAATATGTCTCAAATGAGTCCTAAAGATGTTTTCCACAACACTCAGTTCAACTACCGTACATAGCCGGTCACTCCCTTTAATAATTCATCATATTTTCCTCATTTCTCTACTTTCTCCTTTTCTTTCATCTTTCGTCTTTCACTTTTCGAATTTTTTTGCAATTTTGTTAAAGTTTTGAATTTAAGTGCTGTGGTTAGGATATGAACCCTTTTTCAAATATTAAATTGCATCTTATAGAATTAAAGATTTGTATTTTGTTAAACTGTTGACTCTTCTTGTTTTAATTGTTATAGCTGTGTCTAGACTTTTATAGATCTAATTGAGCTTTTCGTTGCATTGGATAATAAACCTGTTTCTCTAACAATACAGCTGGTAGAGATGTGCATGTTAGCCATTTTTTTATTTTGTATGTTCATCGGTCATGAACGACCCACGGCGTTAGTTTATTTTTCGATCGTTAAAATTCGATTTAGTTCGTTCAATAAAACAGTTCATTCAAAAAGCGTTCATTCATTCAAATGTTTAGTTCAGTAAAAAAATCGTGTTTTTTTAAAACATGTTTAAAACAATCGTTTAAAAGTTAGTTTAAAAACCGTGCGTGCGTTCATAAAAAACGATTGTTTTTCTTTTCATTTCGTTTCATTTCTCCATCGTTCGTTTTTTCCGAACGTCACTTTCTTTCACGAAAAATTTGGTTCGTTCAAAAATTTCGTTCGTTCAAAAACCAATGCTCATCTCTAGTTGGGTTAGTTCTTGGTACTTATTAACTTCCGAAATCATTTCATAAATCTGAAAGGCCTTTGATTCAATAGAATGAAGGAAGTAATGAAATATAATTATAATTTTCAATGAGAAGACGGCTTGGCTGGCATTTTTGTCGATAAGGTACAGTGTTTCCCACAAAGGGTGAAACATCAGACACGACTATGACTGTACTATACTGCATGTTTTTTATATTCATGATTCCCTGCAACTACAGTGAAATCCTTAACAACGCATACATCGGAAGAATTTATCAAATTTCGTCTTGACAATTTTTCAATGAGTTTTATACTTTATTACGTAAATTTCAGTATTTGCGAAAATAAATAAATTGCCATGAATATGCGGGAACAGTTTTAAATTTAATTAAAAAACTGAAAATCTACAACATTCCATTATCAGAAAGTGAACAATACGACATTTGATGAATTCTTCCGATGCATTCGTTATTAAGGGTTTCACTGTATATAAACTTTTGTTTTGTCAAATGATTAGATAAGTCATTTAAAAATCATAAGGTCACATTCAAGGCAAAAGGCTTTATTTAAAATCGGGATAGTCATAATTAAAGCGTTGTAAGTCGTCTTTAAAGTTTCATCTTTTGTGGGTAACCCTGTATAACGAAAGTTTTTATGCCTAACCGCTTTTTTCCTCTAACACTCTTTACTCTTTAAACTGTTTGCCTTTTCAATGTTAAAGAAATATATAAAGAACTCTAGGATATCTCCATTACAGATAATGAAGTTTAGATGGCTTTTCAAGTCCAATTTTGAAATGAAAATTACAATTTCCAAACCATGGCCTCTCAAAAATCCAGTCTTATAAAAGACTCAAACTTCCTAATCAATTGCAGCATGACGCATGAGATTGATAGAAAAATTTCTTTTTTAAGAATTTTTATATTTTTTTTATTTTCATAATTTAAAATTTGGCAAACCCCCCTCCCAAAAATGAAACTTTTTAGAAAAATTGGTTTTATATTTTTTTCAAATATTTCAGAAAAAGAAAATCAACCCAGAACAGCTGAAACAGACAATCATAAATTAAAACGAACAAAAAATAATTTTCTCATATTTTTGTATTTTTCATATTTTTCATATTTTTGTAGAAGAAATGAATAATGTTTAAAGAAAATGGCGATGTATCTTGAACTTGAATGCAGGTGAGAGAATTTTTTTATTTTCATTTTTATTAGCGGGATTTTTTACAAAATGATTAAACTCAAATTTATTTTTTTGTTTCTCTGTTTTACATTGGTGAAACAACAGTTAGAAAATGTAAAAAAGTAGAACTGTTCACAGTTTGGAACAAATTTATTGCCTCAAACTCAAAATTTCTAATCTTCCTTGCAAACTGAATTCTAGATCAAATAGTCTATGGTCGAAATAGCAAAGGTGTAAATCGTAAAAACCGCATATATCACGTATTGCTTTCAAAAGAAGAATATGGTTCATTTGGTGTAATGTTTCGTTGAACAACTGTACAACGTGCCCAAAGCCCGAAATTTAAAAGAGTAATGTTGAACGAATCTCCTAAGTTCCTTTAGTGGGGTCTAACATTTGTGTAGATTTTGATTTGAGAGATTCGAAAAAAAAGGAGAATATGAAGAAACTAAATAAAATAATATTCTTACCATCGACAAAACTGCTTGACCCCAGTCGTGAAACAACCCGGGATTCAAAACTGGTTTTCATAATGATACCCTGTCTTAAGTTTTGGGCTTTAGCTTCCATAAAGTTAACAGTGATCACTGATCATGTTTTATTGGCACAAGAATAATTTATTTTGAAAGAAAAGAATTTAAATTAAAAAAAACACTCTGAACTGATTCATATAACTCCCAATCCTATTCCCAGCTAGAACAGGATACTCACTAGGCAAATATGACGAAAATCACTTTTTAAATATCGACTTTTATCCTTTCCCGAATGACCTCATGTTTTCTGACATAGATTGGGGGATGATAGGGATAGTAAACTATTAAAATATTGCAAATAATGGGTCCGAAATAATCCCAGAACAGTACCAGAATATGGATAGGAATTTAGTAGAGCATTCAAAATCCATGACTTCCAAACTGGGAGTGAAAAAGGAAATTTTAGATAGATAATCTTTTAGATAAATATCTAATCCAGTTTTTCCAATATTTTCTGAAGCTCGAATCCCTGCAAATAAATACCACTGCAGAGAGATAAACCTCACTCTGAAATCACATAAATTTCAACATTGCATAATCCGAACCAGTACACACGACTCTAAAATTGGCATGATCCGAGCCGGTACAACATGTACTGTATATACATTCAGTTGTACCGTCTAGTTTTAGCTACCCAGTGTAGAATCGACTTAGAACGTTTTATGTTACATATATAGCCTGGCAAGATCCGAACTGGTACAAGGATGCAGGTCTAGTCTTTGCCCAACTGGCCCGTCTAGTAAACTGGCCTAGTATGTGCTTGGCCCGTCTAGTGAACCGGCCCAGTATTTGCTTGGCCCGTCTAGTGAACCAGCCCAGTATTTGCTTGGCCCGTCTAGTGAACTGGCCCAGTATGTGGTTGGCCCGTCTAGTGAACCGGCCCAGTATGTGCTTGGAAAATATTTTCACGAAATTTTTTGCATTTCGCGAACAACTTTGCGAAATGCGAAAGAAAATTTGTCATTAACTCCGGCCTCATATTTCTGGTAACAGGCCCATAGTGCTCCATATGTATCTAGAAAAGGAAAGAATATCATGTTTTCTCTATTTTACAAACAAATTGTGTTTTCAAAATAATTTGATTTTTTAGCAAAAAAAATTCAATTTTTATTTCCGATTTTACTATCCAGCTTCGCAAATATAATTTTAGAACTTTTCTAAATAAAAAGATTTATTGCACAAAGTTGACATTTTTACCAACAGACAGTATTTACTTTATAGTTTATACTTTCTCAATTAAAGGAATTGTCATCGTAATTTAGATAAACTACCACAGCAAGAGTGCCATGAAGAAATCACAACATTTAACCGTCCCATGTCATTATTAGATTATCTCCAAGATTTAACATCGAAATACGCACATAATACTCGAAAAACCTGATATATTCTACAAGAAAAATATTAGCCTTATACATTTTTGAAACGATTATTTTTTTAAAAAATTCTAATTAGTCTCAATTAAATATCAATTTAGACCTATAAACGATCTAATACGGTGTGGGACATCCTGCATATTACCGATGATGGAAGTTCTAATAACCCAATTCCGTTTTTGATTATTTACAAATATTATGAATAAAAGTTTAAGGGATTTTATCGCGATTTTTTAAAGAACATTTCGTTGATTGGGATGTTATTTTGCTTAATTAATGATGGGTCGAAAATGTTAATAAAAAAGTTGGTAAACAAATAAAAAGACAATATTTTTTTACATTGTAAATGATGCAAGACTCCCTCAATATTGCATATAAAATCCTTTAAATGAATCGGCATGATAGTTCTTTTTCATCACTTGTAACATAAAGTTTACCGATCATTATTTTTTACTTTAATGATTTATTTACAAGTGTTGAAAAGTATGATGTAATGCTTTTTATCTTTCAGTTATAAGATTGATTCATTATATTCAAGTTAAAAAAAACATTGAAGTTTTCGCCACAAACTCCGATTATCTAATCCCAATATATTTGCAACCTAAGTTCGTAGACCTTATATAATTCAAACTATGAATTCACATTGAGAACGCACAAACGCGCGTATAACATTAATATTTCATAGCATAATCTATATATAAATTTTGCTTGTCTTGGTGTTTGTTTGTTTGTCTGTCAGGGTGTTTGTATCCAATAAACGTGAAAACGGCTGAACCTATCGGGCCCAAATTTTGTGTGGGACTGGGAAATTTGCCTCAACTTTTGATAGCGGAAATCGAGAAAACCACGGGATTGTTATTAGTTTGGTTTAGCAAAAATCTAGAGTGTGTTGACTTTTATAGGAAAATGTCCATGTAAAGCTGGGTTCCCGATCTATAGTGCATCAAAAAATAATAGCGTTATGATAGGATTTGATTGGAAACCCAGCTTTGCCTGGAAGCTAAGTTTTCCCTTTCAATGTCAACCCACTCAACTTAGAATTTCTATTCCCCTACTAAAGGAATTGCGTCTCTGCCACAAACTCAAGTTTTCTAATCCCTTTATCTTAGCAACCTGAGCTTGTAAACGTTTGATATTTTAAACTTAAATTATTTGACTTAAGAGGATTAATAGTTTGAAATATCTAAGGTCTGTGACATTGGGTTGAAAATTTACAGGGATAAGAAAATCAGAGTTTGTGGCAACAACTCAATTCCTTTCAGGCAAATAGAAGTTGTGTTAGGACTAAAACAAAATTTTCCCTGTAAAAGTCAAACCTACTCAACTTAAAATGGTTAAACCAAGCTAAGAAAATTCCTTACTTCTACACAATCAAAGTTTAAGGCAAATCGATGCAAGTGTCGGAGAGACAATCACCAAACTGCAGAGATTACTACTTTTATGTTTTTGTTACTTTTTGATAAGAACTGTTCTTATTTTTTCTATTTTTAGCGCATGTAAATAATAATGAACTGGCTAGTCTGGCCGAATTTTTAATATTTTTCCATGATAATTCTGTTTAAATCAGCCTCTACCATTTCTTTCAGTCAATCTTTTTCCAAAAATATTTACAAAAACATTTAGAAATTAAATTTTTTCTATATTATTAGGTCAATAAAAACATGTTTTACTAAGAGCAATTATCATTATTACTTCAAAATTTTGTACACTAAGGTTCCTATGGCACTTTGAGTGTTCCTGTGTTTTTAAAAATAAACACCTTAAGATTTCGTAGATTTGTCTAATTTTATTGGCGCTTTACCAACATTTTTTACGTTTACTGCATACCAACAAAAAAAAAACCCAGAAAAACCGAAAATATATTAATATTTTTGTAAATCTAGCAATTTCCATTTAAGAATACATAGCAAAACCACATAAAATGTCGCCTTATGAAATCTATTAAAAAATTAATGACAGTTGTATGCTTTCTCATTGGTCTGCACAAAAAGAAAGCTCCTGAAGGTTTAAAGGGTTTAACACAATTTGTGAAAATGTATCCAAATATCATTGCAGAGTCATAAGTTGTTTGATAATTCTTATTAAACTGCTTTTTTTTTTAATTCAAAGTAGATTATTAGCCCTGAAATATGAAGGACATGCTATTTATATATTACACTCATTGTTTCGCGGCATTTGATCTTAAAAATGTTGAGAATTCGACATCATAAAAAACTCTTGCTGTGTATTCATATATCTAGGATTTACAATATAACATTTTCTGGGTATGTTTTCTCTTTCATTTTTTGTAAAAATAACTGAATGATATTTTTACAACCATGCAATAGATTGCAATATGACAAATATTTTTGCTAAATATTGCTGACAAATCCTTTATATTATAATTTTAACAAAATAAGGAAATTTGTGATTCTGTTCAAAGAAAATTTTGTCAAATCATAGTACACTGCTTTACTCTTAACTCAACAGACACGTTTCATCAAAGGAATTGAGTCTTTGTCACAAACTATGATAAAATATAGGTATTATATGACAAGATAACAAGATGATTTAGATTAAGCTATTTTCCTTAATACAAATTTTTTTTTCTTTTGGCCGATTACAATAGACAACTAACCAGCATTTACAAAATCAATAACATGAGAAATAACATCCTTTTGAGACGGAAAAAACTGATGAAGAGATATTGGAGCTCTAAATTGGATAATCTCTGTATCTTGTTTATTGTCGTCTAAACAGTATATTGTCATGATGAAGAGATATTGGAGCGCTAAATTGGATAATCTCTGTATCGTGTTTATTGTCGCTAAACAGTATATTGTCATAATGAAGAGATATTGGAGCTACACTGGATAATCTCTGTATATCGGTAATTGTCAATCGGTAAATATTCGCGAAAACATTTTCATAAGGGCAACTTTCCAAATGGTTCAATTCCAAATGGCATTACCCAAATTTATTTTTTAAAACATTAGTTAAAAACGTTGTGTCAGAATGGGGTTTTACGGAATTCTAAATGGACCATTATGAAGAAAAGAAATACCATTAAGGGAAAGATACTTTAAATAAATAAAGAAAAATTGTGAAAGGTGAAAACTTTTGTTGTTTATGATTAGATTTAAGTTTAAACTGGGTTGAACTACATTAAATGGAATTTAATTTCAAATTTTTCTCCCTTTTAGCTCATGCTTGTTTAACACGGTACGTCTTGAACAATCAGGAAATATGTTTTTCAGACAGAAAACGAAAAAGGTTTTTTTTCCATTTGGGCAAAGGTTTAACTGGAACTGTCGTGAATCGAGAAACGAAGATTAATCAAATTTTTGTCATTAGTTGCTTGAAGGGAGTGTTCCCGAAAAATTAAAGGGGGTATTTCATAGTATATTTTATATTTTATATACAATGCAATTAAAATAACTATTCTTTGTGCACTAGGTGTCTTTTCCACGTGGAACCATCTTCTTTAGAATACTTTCCACTATCATCAGATTGCATCTAGATGTAAATACAATTAGTTGTATTGATTATGCAATTATTAAGATAAGCCGACACTGCATTAATGCAGTTTATCCATTAAATGCATTGTTTAATCTGCAGTATTTGAGAACATGTTTTTAATAAAATAGAATAAAAAGAAAATGAATTTATCAAGGAGAGAACTGATCAAAGGGTGGAACTGATCAAAGGGTGGAACTGATCAAGGGATGGAACTGATCAAAGGATGGAACTGATCAAGGGATGGAACTGATCAAGGGATAGAACTGATCAAGGGATGGAACTGATCAAGGAATAGAACTGATCAAGGGATGTAACTGATCAAGGGATGGAACTGATCAAAAGATGGAACTGATCAAGAGATTGAACTGATCAAGGGATGGAACTGATCAAGGGATGGAACTGATCAAGGGATAGAACTGATCAAGGGATGGAACTTATCAAGGGATAGAACTGATCAAGGGGTGGAACTGATAAAGGGATAAAACTGATCAAGGGATAGAACTGATCAAGGGATGGAACTGATCATGGAGAAAAACTGTTCAACGAAAGGAACTGGTCAAAAGGGAGGAACTGATTAAGGGATGGAACTAATCAAAGGATGTTACTAATCGAAGGGTAAAGCTGATCAAAGGGTGTAAATTATCAAGGGGTGGAACTGATCAAGGGGGTGGAACTGATCAATGGGTGGAACTGATCAATGGGTGGAACTGATAAAGGGATAAAACTGATGAGGAGAGGAACTGATTAAGAAGAGGAACTGATCAAGGGATGGAACTAATCAAAGGATGGAGCTGATCAAAGTGTTGTGCAACTTTATTTTTCGTCTTTGTTATGTAATAATTAAAAAACAATTCTCATAACGTATCCACCGAAAAAGATGATTTTGAAAGTCGACTTTGCAATCAAACTCAGTAAATATACGTCAAATTATGAATATTCAACTTGATTACTTGTTGCAAAAACTTCTTTACAAGTTCAACAATTCGAACAGATTCTGTTTAGTCCATCGTTATCCTTGATCCAGTGACAATCTTCCAAAGTATACTGATAACTGGAATAATGAGATCCGATCTTGATATCTCCGTGGTGTAAACTTGGTAATCATTTTGTCAATCTCAGTATTTATTGTGTTCTCCAAAGACTGTTTACCAAAGTAAATCTTTCAGTGTTTTCAGAACGTTGTTAATGACTCCATTGATCGCCATTAGTAAAGAAAATACCATAAGGTTTGTTAACAGTTACAAACCTATGCTGAAGCTAAAAATCAGCAGCAGAACGATGGGAAAATCAGCAGCAGAACGATGGGAAAATACTTCTTTATAAAAAAGTTCTTTCATAATGTTAAAGTCATTGATGATATAATATTTAAAAGTCCGTTCAATTTGTATAAAAGATATCGGGTTCTTGACTACACTTGGTTGGGTCAGACAGTCTAGGAAACCTCTTTTTGACTTTGATCATAACAGACTTCCGATAACTGGAGGTCCTGGGTTTAAAGGTGGACATGTTCAACTTTTTTCATTTTGTTTGTTCATCGTTCAACGACCCATTTGGTTCGTTTTGTTTCGAATAAACCGTTTCTTACATGTTAATCAAACATTAAAAAAATTTAATCGTGTACTAATGTAACATATGTATTTTTAAATTTGATTTTCAATGAGCCCTTCCACCTCCCCCCCCCCCCCCCCCCCTCCCCCCCCAAAAAAGTCTGTTTTATTTTATCCATCTAACTAAGTTTCTTTAAATTGCCGTACCATTACTTGTGTCTTTATGAAAATATATTTTTGGAGGCTGATACTATCTCTATATGTAGCTTTATGGAATTACCATACATATACAGGGAATTGAGAGACGACTTGAAAGTCGTCTTTGATTTCTGATGTTTAATGCATCGCAAAGAAAGTAAAAAACCAATTCTGTACGTCCGACGAGCTTTTCAGAAAGTGGACTACCTTTCTTGTATCTTAAAAAGTGACGAAGCTATTAGATATTAATACAATTTTGATGTATTAAAGAAATTGAAATTTGAAATTTTAAAAATTTTTGATGATACTTAAGTTGTATTTCTCCTCCATTTAAAAATTTGTGAGCTTCCCCTTTAAGATTTAAAAAAAAATATTCTGAATTTTGTCCTCGAACTATTTCGATTTAAATAAGATTTGAGAAAAAGAAATCAATTCAAGTCAATTTTATTCCATTCTTTCTCAATATTTGTTTCTTTTTTCCTACGAAACAATTTAATTTTTCGTAAGAGATTTTGCAATCAACATGTCATTTTCAAATATTATTGCAGAGAAGGGGAGGAGGAGTTTCAAACAATCTTTTGGCAAGTTCTGGATTATGTCATTTCATCAGTGGGCATTATAGGTAATGGTCAAAATTAAAAAATTAAAATCTTCTAATTCTTTACAAAGATAATGATAATTCTAAATTAAACCTATTCCTGCTGGGGGGGGGGGGTCAATTTGCCCCCCCCCCCTGTAGTTTTTTTTACATAACTCAAAAAGTATTGGTCTGAGGCTGTTGAAATTTTCTGATTTTTCTTACATTCCCAAAGCCCTCCCTTAGGCCTAAAACCGGGCTTTAATACTAACTGCCTGAGTCCTCAGGCACACTGCCTGAATGACTGCTTTTGCCTGTAACAAACTAAATCTTTGTTTTGACCCACTTTCACTTGTCAGATTTTGATAAAATTTAGCTTTTTGGAAAGCCTATGACATAAGGAAACGGATTGCACAAGTTTTGCGAAAAAAAATTGCAAATTTTTTGCAAACAACCTGTCAAAGGAAATTTGCACATTTTTAGTTTTTCTTGATTAAAAATCAGGTTTTTTAAAACTTTGCAAAAATATTTGCATATTTGAAATGGCATGGTCAAGGGCTTTTCAAAAATGTATAATTTTTCATTTTTTGGACAAATTTTTTTTTGCAAACATTTTTACTATAAAACTGGATTTTGCGATAAAAAATTCAATTTTCGCAAATTTGCAGATTCTAAAAGTAGAGCACAAGAGCTTTCTAATGATGTATCATTTGTCATATTTCGGCATAAAACATGGGATTTAGAGGGGGGGGGGTCAATTTGCCCCCCCCCCCCAGCGTATCCTGGTTTTCAAGTACCCCAGCAGGGATAGGGTTATCAATCCCTATATCTTTTCATTTTCAACCAGAGCTGGGAACTTTAGAATGGATAACCTAACTACTTAATCCGAATATCCACTGTGGAAACTTTTAATTTTAGTCCTTACTCTACTCTTTTTATCTCTCTTTTTGGATATCCATACATTGTTTTCTCCAATGAAAGGGCAGTAATATACTTCTTAAATTGTATTGACCAATGACAGCCTTGAAATTGAATTCTATCCCATAATAGAAATCAGCAATTTCTAACAAATAAAGAATTTGCTGTTGGCAATTTTGTAAATTAATTGGTGAAGAAAATATTTAATAATATTTTTGAGATTATTTTTTAATCTCAAGATTATTTTAGCCTCGAGATTAGCAAAAAGAGAGGATTAAGCATCAATTTATCCTGACATCCACAATTTTTAAGTTCCCGGCTCTGATGGTGTAAACCGCTAATATATCAAAGTGTGTTTTAGGAAACCTTATTTCCATTTCAATATTGGTCAAGAAGGAATTCAGGTTAATTTTTCTAATAAAAGAAAATATAAAACAAATACTTCATATTTGTTGACCAGCAAAATATCTATTAAAGTTTTATTTTTAGAGAGACGTTTCATCGTCTACTGTTGAGCTTAGCAGTGGTTGATTTGATATTCATCATCTCCGTAGTGATTAGGTAGGATAACAATCACAATTGCAGATATTTGTAGGGGAAGGGGGTGGGTTTATTTTTTAACAGAAAAGAAAATGATAAGTTCCGTAGCTCAAAAAGACAAATAATGAAAGACAAGAGAAAATTTATAAAAAAAAGAAAAGAAAAACTCTTGAAAAGCTAATTAGGGAGGGAAAAACGTATTAAAAAAAAAACTCTGATCAAGATGATTTAATGGGAATAATTATAACATAGATACATATATTTTACGAAGATTATCCACTCCATATATTATCCTGTCGATGTGTTGTCTTTCTGCATTTTTTCTTTTACGACAATTGACTCTCGAAAGTTTGTCAATCTAGAATTTTTTTCTCTCACTCAAAAAAAGCCTAAAATATTTAAAATACCTAATTTTAGAACTTTTTACAGTAGGTTAATCCAAGTTCCTAGCATCAAAAACCTTGTATTTTCAACAATAAATAACTTTATTTTGAGCTCCAATTTCGATTTACCAAATTATAACTTCATAATTCTATTTTTTTTTCAACAAAAAGAAATAAAGTTCTGACTAAATATCCATTTTTTCTTGTCTCTTCTTTAAGTTTTTTCTTGAATAAACAATATAACTTTCATTACTTGCATTTTTTCTTAAAATTTGTTTCAAAATGACAAAAACTTTTTATGCTATAGAATTAAAAATAAGAATTTTATTTGTTATTTATCAATAACAATGAGATTTTCAAATCTATCTTCTGACGTAGAATCCTTTTTATTGAAAATACTCTGTGCATTGATTTAAAGAAATAATTTTTATTTAAGAAATATTCTACGAAATGTTCGGCAGGAGAAAGAGCAGTTTCTAAATCAATTGAATGCATCTATTCACAGGTGTTGTTTACTAAAAATCCTTTATTTCAAGTTCCTTTTCATTCAAGTGCATTTTCAAAGTTTTAGAGTTAACAATGCTCTTTATTTAATTTTATTAAAGGAACTGAATTTTAAAAGAATAGTTTAGATCTAGAAGAAAAAGATTGTCATTAGAAATCGTCCTAACACCATCACAGCTTTAAAAAATATCAACTATCTATCTATTTAGCCAAGTATTATATTCTAAAAGTTATTTTTGTGCTTTGTAGAATCAACAAAATCTTAATTGTATTTACATGTCGGACCCAAAGTTTGAAAAATGAACAAATTTGAATTTAAAAATAATTTAGTTTAAAAATATACAAAAAAAAAGATAATTAAAAAAATTTTAATCGTCGATGCTATATCTTATATTCAACAATTCCCGACAGCTTTTATACTTAACACAATTTTTTGGGCTTTTATGTGTAATATGGGCTGGTGGGGGGGGGGGGAATCGACCCCTCTTATGATTTTGTTTTGCGAACAGTTTCTATTTATTTCACTGTGCTCCTAAAATATTAAAATATCAATATTTTATTTTACCGAATGGAGTGTAGAGAGAGAATGAATAGTTTCTGCAAATGGGAGTTTTGTGGAAATGAATTTTTGTTTTCTTGTTCAGAATTTATAAAGATATGTACTAATGGTTTTTTTCCCAACCGGTTTATATCGGTAGATCATACATAAGGGATTTGATACCACCCCCCCTATGATTTTGCCCTAAGAGTTGAGATATGGGAGTGTGATACTGATGCATGTTCTTAGTCCAACTTTTCAAGGCCTGCTCGTTAACTAAGCTCTAATTTTAAGGGTTAGGGTGCAAGGGAGAATTTTTAAAAAGTTCACAAAATACATCGGAAAAATGTTCAAAAATAATAATTTTCACAAATATTAACATGTGACACATGTTATTACATCCATTTTCAAGGGCTTTTTGAATATTTATTTTTTAGCACTGTAGCTTAATTAATAGAAAAGTTATTAGGCATTTCTGATTTTTAAACACCGACCCGCCGTTTGACTGTCCTCCATAAAAAAATGATTTGCAAAATATGTTTACAACCATGATGTTGAAAAGTGATGAAGTTTAAGTCACATAGAAAAAATCACAGGGGGGTTTACCCCCCCCCTCATTCCCCCACCCCCCAGCCGTAATAGGGTTAATAAATTGCAGATTGTATCAATTAAAGGGTAATTCTTGCAAAAAAAAATCAAGTGGAGATGGGTTAAATCTCTAAAAGTGTACTTTTGAGAATATTTACTCAATTTCAAGGATTTTTAATATCGAAGACGGTATTTTCCATGAGTAAAAATTTTTCACTCGCGTGCAAGTGAATGGTCCAGAATTACATGCAGCAATTATATTTTTGTGAACTCCGTAAGTTTACTGGACTTTATCACAGGCAGCCGTAGTACATTTGAATTTCCGAGCCGGGTCAACCTTTCCGGTCCCAGTTTGTACTGTATCTCCCGGTCATTGGGTAAATAAAGCAGACACTCAATAGGACTAGCCAGTGTAACAAGGTTGACACGGTCAGACTTTAGGTTAAATTTACTTTTACCAAAGGGTCAGAGGTGCTTGTTTTTCACTCTTAGCATTTTAGCGTTTTCAAGCTTTTTTTCTGTTAAGACCCTAAAGAAAGAAGTAAAATTAGACGCAGAATCAAAATTGTTTCGGATTTAGCCTATACCCCTTTCATTTTTCGCGAGCACTCCCTTTAGCTGTGCAAATGGGGACAGAGGCGGAATAGGGGTAATCGAAATCATGGATTTTCCTGGATTGAAATTTTGAACTCTTCCAAAGCATTTTCCACATATGTTCACCATAAGTCACTGTTTTAGCCCTGTAAACTTCGCTATCTTCAATCCCGGACGGTGTCTGTTATTCTTAATTTTATTTTAGAAACGGGATCAACTTTACGGAGGATATTTTTATATCGGAGAATACAGAGGATGATACAGTTCAGAGGTAATATAGGATACATGGATACAGGACAGGAATACAGGATACATGGATACAGGACAGGCATACAGGATACATGGATACAGGACAGGAATACAGGATACATGACGAGGATATATAGGAAAGGAGTAGGATACAAGGTTCAGAATAAGGATAAAGGATATTGGATATACAGGATAAAGGTCACATTGTAATAAATATCGGGTAACACAATATTCTGTAAACCTGCAGTACATTATTAAATGTGCTTGTAAACTTTTACGTATAAAATCCATTATTCATTTGAACTATGTTTACAAATAAATATGTAGCATGATTAGCTTAATCATGTGAGCTATAGAATGATGTACATCTTAAATGCGCCTATTTTTACTGTGCTTTAATATGTAACATGATTGTCTTAATCATGTGATTACATCTATTATCTTTAACTTGTAACATATAAACCTCAAATACATTAGTTGATATAAAGACTCTGTACTGTTTACTATGAGACAGTAATAATTCCCTGTTTTGATAAACAGGTTCAGGATCATGCCTATTTGGTTTGGCATTGATCATTAAGAGCTTCTTATTGATATCGATAGCTAACAAGATTGCGCTCAGTGGTAGTGATGTTGATAGTTCACGGGATTGTAGCCATGTGGATTGTGTTCTAGTCATGACATTGATAAGTACCACAGGGTTGTAGCAGTGTGGATAGTGCTCATTGATTTGGCATTGATTGTTACGAGCTTCTGATTGATATCGATAGCTTACAAGATCACATCCAGTGGTAGTGGCATTGATAGTTCATGGGATTGTATCCGTGTGGATCTTGTTCTAGTTGAGACATTGATAAGTACCATGGATTGTAGCAGTGTGGATAGTGCTCATTGATTTGGCATTGATTGTTACGAGCTTCTGATTGATATCGATAGCTTACAAGATCACATCCAGTGGTAGTGGCATTGATAGTTCATGGGATTGTATCATTGTGGATCGTGTTCTAGTTGAGACATTGATAAGTACCTTGGATTGTAGCCGTGTGGATTGTGCCTTTTGATTTGGCATTGAAAGTAATGAGCTTTTGTTTGATATCAATAGCTAGCAAGATCGTGCCCAGTGGTTGTGGCGTTGACAATTCACTGGATTGTATCCGTGTGGATCGTGTTCTATTTGAGACATTGATAATTACCACAGGATTGTATCCATGTGGATTGTGCCTTTTGATTTGGCATTGATAGTTACGAGCTTCTGATTGATATTGATAACTTTCAAGATCGTTCCCAGTGGTACTAGCGTTAATAGTTCACAGGATTGTAGCCGTGTGTTGACTATCGATAGTCAAGAGAACCTGAGTTGTACCTGGATAGATCCTTGTTCGGGAAACTGTTATGGAGTAGGGCAATTACTACAATAGGATATATGATATAGGATATAGGATATAGGATATAGAATATAGGATATAGGATATTGGACAAAGCATATAGGATATGGGATAGGATATTGGATATAGGATATAGGATATAGGATATAGGATATAGGATATAGGATATAGGATAAAAGATATAGGATATAGAATATAGGACACAGGATACAGGATACAGGATAAAGGATAAAGGATATGATATAGGATAAAGGATAAAGGATATATTATATAGGATAAAGGATAAAGGATAAAGGATAAAGGATATAGGATATAGGATAAAGAATACGGAATGCACGATATCTGATCCAGAATTCATAATACAGCATACATAACACAGGACACATAATACAGAAAAAAGTAGAGAATAATTAAGGATACAGACTATATGATAAAATGGTAAATCTTGCACTTTTTCAGAGAGCTGTTTGAGGTTCGACATGAAGTTATTTTCCTGGAAAATGTGACGGATATTTTTAGTTTTGAAATAAGGTAGAATTTTACTAATGTCGTCTTGACAACTTTACAATAGTTTTTATACTACGGTGGTATGCGATTTTATCAATATAATAAAGACGACTTTCGATTTCAATTTTAATTTATAAACAGCTTTTAAACAGCATGGATAAACAAAAACATGGAAACAGAGAGAAACTGTCAATTAAAAAAGCTCCAATTTAATTGCTTGTAAACTTGTAGTTTGAAAAAAATCTGGTTAACAGTTAAAACTTAAACTAAAAAGTTGTCTTCATTATATCGCTATACTCGCCTGCCACAGTATTATACCTAAATCTCAGAAATTGTGCAAATAAATAAATATCCTTAAAATAAGCGAAAACAGTTTTTATGAAACTATTGTGTACTTTATCATTCTTCCTCACTTCATCGTGAATTTCATAATACCATTATAAAGTAATCATCGTGCTATAAAGTTAAATTAGCTGTACAGTGTAGATTATAGCACGTGTGCTATTAAGTCCTGATTGGTTCCCGGATTTTCTCTAAAAATTTTATGATATTTCCAAAATATTTGTTTTCAATTAAAATGAAAATCAAATTGAAATCAACTTTATATTTTGACTTCTACTTTGTTTCAAAGCTTATTTGATCCAGAAATAGCCGTTGAAATAAGACAAGTACACAAACGTTTCATAAAATTACCTATGACACTTTTATTTTGGTTTGCAGTGCAATAAAGTTTTGTACTTAAATTTTCTCTTGCTTTTTAGATTATATTTTGTTTTAAATCTTTTCGATAAAGAGAAAATTTCTGTCCAAAACTTTATAACTCTGCGAACCAAAATAAAATGGTATTAATAGTTTTAGTGCTCCAGGTAATTATTCAATTAAAAACTAAATATCTTCAGCATTCCATAAGGAGTAGTTTAAGAAGACGACATTTTATAAATTCTTTCAATGTTCTGAAATTCTGAGTTTAACTGTCGATAAACTGAAATGAACATTGAACACTCATCTCAAACTTTTTAAACCTTTTAAATTTGCCACCTGATGCTGCAGACCAAGGATACGTTTACATGAGAGTTTGAAATACCAAAGGTTCACACCAACAGGTTGCAAAGATATATTTGTTTTGTTTTTTTACAACCATTTATTTGAGTATAAGTCAAAAACGGATCTATCCCGTTTTGTCAAATTTTCGATTTGTCATCTTTTCTATTTTTAGATTTATGTATTTTGCTTCTATATACTTCATCGTCTCCATCAGGTAACACAAAAATTAAAACATTTCTATTGTTTTTTAATTAGAAATATTGTTCACAATTTTTGGTGCATGGTACCAACTATTTATGAGAGAAAACCGATACCTTAAATTTTGTATTTTAAGGAGGGAGGGGGGAGTAATTAGTTGGTAGATTTTAAATGAGATATTGATTAAATGATTTTTAGAATAATTGTCCTTAAGACATCATTATTATTCATAAATGTTGTTAAAGCCTTTGACACAAACATAAATAGGTTTTCGACAAAAAAAATCTAGTAAATCCGCAAAGGATTTGTAATGAAAATATGTTCTAAAGTCAAATACATTTGTTTTGATTTAAGGATTGCTTTTGCATCAGCATTTTCCCAACTTTAATCAGTCGTCTTTTCCAGTTTTTCTGGAGACCACTAACCACAGCACTAGATAAACATTGGTTTTTATTGTTGAAATGTGCTTTTATCAATTTTGAGTTTCTGGGAACAATTTTAAAAGAATTTTGTCGAAAAATTCATTTTAATCTTTTCTTGAGGAAAACTTGACATTAATTAACCCTATCCCCGTTGGGGTACTTGAAAACCAGGATACGCTGGGGGGGGGTCAATTTGACCCCCCCTCTAAATCCCATGTTTTATGTCCAAATATGACAAATGATACATCATTAGAGAGCTCTTGTGCTCTACTTTTAGAATCTGCAAAAAATTTGCAAATTTGCGAAAATTGAATTTTACTTTTTGAGTTATGTAAAAAAAACTACAGGGGGGGGTCAAATTGACCCCCCCCCCAGCGGGAATAGGGTTAAACAAATTTTAAGATCAGCTTTTTTACTTTATTGCATACTTCTCATAAATTGTTGTTAAAAAATAATATTTAGTATTTTTGACAAGATATTTTGCAACATAAGACAGATGGTATTATTTTTTTATTTCCAAAAAATATAAATGGTCCGTTCCAGACAAAAGAAAATTATACTTATAAGCTTTTTTAGACATAAATAATACTTAAAACCTACCATTAAAAAAATTACATTTTTTTATTAAATCTGCTGAAATTTTGCAATTTATATTATAAATTCCTGAATTCAAAATCTGTCAAGAATATTTTGAAGAATTATTTTATTCTATCTGAAATATGTCATTTAATGTACTAGGCCTTTTCAAACAGTTTTAATGGATGATTTTTAAATCTTCAACAAGTTCAATAATAAAAGCACTTTTGATAAAAGCATTAAATCTTACTGCAAACAAGTCTACGTGGAAAGTTCGGGATTTTATTTTTTTTAGATTTTAATAAAAAGTTTAGATGACGGGACTTTTCGGTGAAGTAAATTCAATAGTTTGATTTGTTCAAAATGTGCATTTGCTAAAAAAAGTCCAAAAAAATAGTGATGAAATTAAAAGATGGGTCCTTGAAAACCGTTTACAATGGCCGCGGGAACTTATTGAACACAAGGGCGCACTCCGAGGGGGGGGGGGGGGGGGGGGGCTGTAGGACTTTAAAAAGTCCAATGAACATTAGACACAGACCTATTTAACTTCTTACGAAATTTTATAACTAATTAGTAATGCTATTTGCTTAATTTGTAACTTCAAGTTCACTTCAGTATTTCTTTAAAGTCGTCTTCCTATTCTACAGTTTTGTGTTTTGTATAAAAGTTTGTGTGTTTCAGTGCTGAAAGATACTTTGGAGTTTGCTATCCTATAAAATCAAGGAAACTATCAACATTTTTCCAATTTACACAACACAGGATAATTCACCCTATATCTAAAGATGTCAATTTACATCGGTACCATTAGAATATATATTAGAGTGGAATTTAGACAATCCCTCGGTATGAATTTTGTCAGTCCTTTTCAGCCTGAAAGGGAGTTCAAAGTGTACAAATCATGTAAATGTTCACAAATTATATGCAGTAGAGTACATTAATACAGTACGTTCCCTAGACTATCCATTTCAATTTTGAATTTTTTAAAGCTGTTAAATAAACTTTATAATGTATTAGGTGAATAAAAAACATTAATTTATAACGAAAAATCATCGTTTGTAAAGTGAAAGGCATAGAGTGTATGTGAAATGATCATTGGTCAATTATGAAACCAGCCTATTTCATAATTTGGTTTTCTTTTAATATTAATTTTAGATTTTCTATGAAATGATGTTCCAGGGCCCAAAAGGTTATAGAAGTACACCTAGAGTATGGAAACAGTACAACAGAATGGCAGTTTTACACTTTTTCTGGTAAATTCCACTCTAATATATATTCTATTCTCTTTGCCTTTATAGCTTTGTCTGATCAAGTAATTATTTTCAATTGTGTTTTCTCTACAATGTAAAAAGTGACTTGCGCTTTTCTACTGCAGGAAGATATGTATGAACTAACAAAATTAATGCTTTCAAGTTTCAAACTTTAAAATCACAACAAAGCTTTAAGGGTACCGTTTCTAATCAGGCATTGTCATCTGTGCATCTGGAATAATGTCGACGTAGCACATTTTTAAATAAAGAATAGAAACTGTATTTTATTTTCAAATTTCCATTTCTTTCCTATTTAAATAGGTTCTATTTAATGTTTTACAGTTCATTTACATTTATTTTACGAGTTTTTGGCATTTCCTTTCATCGTTAGATTCTAGATTTCGTTTTAGTTTCTTTAGTTTTGCTCTAATTGTTTAAGTTTTCATGTGTAAATGTAATTAATGTTGAAAATCTTTGGCAGAGTTAAAGGACGTAAACGGTTTTACTTATATTTCATACCCGTCCTCATGCTAAGGTTAGCTATATTTACGTCCTCATGCTAAGGTTAGCTATGTACATCCTCATGTTAAGGTTAGCTATGTACATCCTCATGCCAAGGTTAGCTATAATTACGTCCTCATGCTAAGGTTAGCTATATTTACGTCCTAATGCTAAGGTTAGATATATTTACGTCCTCTTGCTAAGGTTAGCTATGTACATCCTCATGCTAAGGTTAGCTATGTACATCCTCATGCCAAGGTTAGCTATAATTACGTCCTCATGCTAAGGTTAGCTATATTTACGTCCTCATGCTAAGGTTAGCTATATACAGGTCCTAATGCTAAGGTTAGCTATATTTACGTTCTCATGCTAAGGTTAGCTATATTTACGTCCTCATGCTTAGGTTAGCTATATTCACGTCCTCATGCTAAGGTTAGCTATATTTACGTCCTCATGCTAAGGTTAGCTATATTTACGTTCTCATGCTAAGGTTAGCTATATTTACGTCCTCATGCTAAGGTTAGCTATATTCACGTCCTCATGCTAAAGTTAGCTATATTCACGTCCTCATGCTAAGGTTAGCTATATTTATACCATGTATGCAGTGATGGGGCAAAATATTCAACTTTTCCGACAAAATCAGAGAAGTTTAAAATTTCAAAATTGTTTATTTGCTTTCCCTACACTATACTGCGCCAACTTGTGGTCCTGTTAGAAGATATACATAAAAACATTTGCTTTAAAACGATAGTTTTTTAGTTCGTTTCCCGTGATACTTTCTCTGAGGATGAAATTGTGCATGGTTTAATAAAAGCAAACTTTTACAGAATACAATTTCGATATTTTGGAACCTTCTTAATTTCCAAGTATGTGTATGGTGCCTGAGAATTTAGAAACAATAATTTGAACATCATCTCTGATTTTGAATTATTGATTGATAAGAAAAAAATCTCTTGACATGAGGTTCAGCTTCTTTCTATCTTAAAATCGACGGAGATATAAGCTAAGGTTATAATGCAAGGAAAGTTATTTCAGAGGTGTACGCATCTTTTGTACTGCAGTGTACTGTCTCAGAGCCCGAAATTTAAAAGAGTATCGTTGAACGAAACTACCGAGTTTCTTTTCTGGGGTCTTAGCATTTGTGTAGATTTTGATTTAAGAGATTCGAAAAAAATGGAGAATATAAACAACTTGAAAAAAAAATATTTCATTACAAGAATATTGATATTCACAAAACTGCCTAACCCCATTCGCGAAACCCGGGTTTTAAAACTGGTTTTCATTACGATACTCTGTCTTAAGTTTTGGGCTCTGGGCGGTAATGTAAACACAAGACGGATGTCGAAGCCTGACATGGTATCCATCTTTCACATAAAAAATAAATGAAATATTCTGGTCATAGTAAACTATTATGTGAATCATCAAAATTGTCAAAATTTAATGCTTTTAACCTCCTCGGATACTTAGCGAACACTGATACATCTATTCTTGATTACAAATTCCGCCCAGAGAGAACTGGTTTCAATATGTACACAGAGTATACACGACCACAATTAACTTTCCTTGGATAAAATAAGATTTTGTTAAAGATCCCAAAATATAAGAATCTGTATGGATTAAATTCTTTTTTCTAAATTTAATACCCTGTAAATAAATGAAAGAAATTTCTTTTGATCAAAATGGTGTCCCAATAAACATGGGATTTCTGTGACGATTTGGATATCGTCTTTGTAAAGGATTTTTTGATTTTATCTATGGCTGATGTCTACTAGGAAACCTATAATCCCGTCTGCTACAGTTCAAAATCTGTTTGTTTATGTTTTTATTGTAAACTGAGTTGCACCAAATAGATTATTTATTAAAATAGATGGCAATTTGTAGAATTTCTTCACTCGCAGTACAGCTGTATTCTTACGTCACAAGTGTAGATAGAAAATAAAATAACATGTAAATAAAAAATAAAATAACATTTAGATAGAAAATAAAATAACATTTAGATAGATAATAAAATAACATTTATCTGTTTTTATTTTTATTTTCTCTATCTTTTTCTATCTTTGTATTCTCTATCTTTTTTTATCTATGTATTCTCTATCTTTTTCTATCTTTGAATTCTCTATCCTTTTCTATCTTTGTATTTTCTATCCTTTTCTATCTTTGTATTCTCTATCTCTTTCTATCTTTGTATTCTCTATCTTTTTCTATCTATGTATTCTCTATCTTTTTCTATCTTTGTATTCTCTATCTGTTTCTATCTTTGTATTCTGTATCTTTTTCTATCTTTGTATTCTCTATCTTCTTCTATCTTTGTATTCTCTATCTTTTACTATCTTTGTATTCTCTATCTTTTTCTATCTTTGTATTCTCTATCCTTTTTCTATCTTTGTATTCTCTATCAGTTTCTATCTTTGTATTCTCTATCGTTTTCTATCTTTGTATTCTCTATCGTTTTCTATCTTTGTATTCTCTATCCTTTTTCTATCTTTGTATTCTCTTTCGTTTTCTATCTTTGTATTATCTATCTTTTTCTATCTTTGTATTCTCTATCGTTTTCTATTTTTGTATTATTGTTTCGCTAGGCAACCTCTGCCTAGCAAATATTATCTGGTAAAATGACAAAAAGTAAAAATATTCTACCTTTCACTCATTGCATGAGAAGCTATAGGTTTGATCGTAACCACTCTGTATTGAATAGATAGATAGGACAAGCTCTCTGTAATACTGGATATCAGGTTCACCGCATCTTTTCTGCAACCCAGAGTAGATTGTAAAGGTTCGATCTAAAACAAGGATCGACGGTAAAAATAAGCAGAAAATATAATGAAATAGACTAAATATAAATCAATGTAAACTATCCAAAAAACATTGTCATATTTAACTAAAAGAACCGAGCAATTGACAGAAGAAAAACGTCACATTAGATATTGTCGACGAAATAAATAAACATGTACCTTATATTTCCCTTGAATCTCGCAAAAGAGTGAATATATCTTGAATCAGCGTTTTTAAAAGGATAACAAATTCCTCTTTTATCCTTTACTTTGAATGCTTAACCGGGACTGAAGCTGTGTGGATTCCTGGAATTGAAATTTCTATACCGGGCTGATACAGAGTACAACTTCAATACCGGCGCGGGAAATTTAAATTATACAACAAACTTGAAGACGAAATTTGAATCTTATAAAATATACAGAGTGAGCCAAAACTCACGAAACACTCCCCCGGGAGGAAAAATTTCGTCTACAGTAAAAAAACACCAAGAGTTGGTACCATGTCTATTGTATCTCACGACCACGATAACGACAAATAATATACTAAAATCACTGAACATAATTTATTTCTATAAAACAAAAGATAACTTACAACAGGTTTTAAATAATCTTGGCAGAAAAACCAACATATTCAGAACTATTTGGTCTTAATCAGATCCCAAACCTATTAGTAATTGTAATCATAAGATCTGGAACAACCAAACAAATAAAACTTTAATCAACATTGCTGAAAAGAGAAAACAAAAAAAATCTAAAAAATCAAAGAAACTCTGAAAACTCTAACTCCATGTCGACATCTTCCTCTCTGCTCCTAGTCTCAGTCTCCACAGAAGCAGCTAACTTCTGAGCGTCTGTCAATACCTTAACAGGTTTCTTCTTTCTTCCCTTTGACTTCCTCTTATCTGGGACGATTTTTCTAGCTTTAGGTATTGGAAGAGTAAAATCCTCCAAGAACATCTCTTCATCCACTTCCACAACCTCCATCATAACTGATCCATTCTCAGTATCTAAACCCATATCAGGCTTAGGATCACTAGTACTATCTCCAGACTTGATTTCAGCAGCTCCAGTCACTTCATTCTTATCACTATCTTCAACCTCAGACTCAGATGCAAAGGGATCCACAATAGGAGCAGAACAACCAATAGGAGCAAGATCCACAACAGGTGCTGGATCTGCAATTACAGCAGGTTCATCCACAACAGGTTCATTACTGACAACTGAAGATGGAGTCGAACCAGGATCAATCCTGCGAAACTTACCCCTACCCCTAGATTGTGACCGACCTCGTGATTGAGACCTTGCTCTCTTTCGCTCCCTCTTTCTAGCTTGACTAGGAAGCTCAGGATAATACTCCCTCCATCTTGCACGTTCGACAGAATCCTGAGAATCAACCATCATTTGCAGATATGCAACCCTTTCATCCCGGATCTTCATCTCTTCTACAGCAACAGCTTTCTCTGCTTTGGCAACTTTCAGTTGCTCCAGCAGATCACCGGTCAACTTCTCTTCAACAATGCACACCCGCATTGCATGAATATTGAATATTCTCCGATACAGGAATCTAATCGCATCATAACAATTTTGATAGAACCTCCGGAAGAATTGATTACTCTTGACATTCTTCAGAAAACTAGTAATTTCTCCCGGGTAGGTCCTAGCCCAGTGCAACAACACAAACTTCATAATTCTTCCAACCTGCTTAGAATATTGGAGAAATCCACTATACTTAGCCATAGGATCTACACCTTTAGGCAATGCCAATCCAGGATGAACAGTAAGACCAGCAGGAGCATCCTTAGATACAGCAACATTCCAATCAATCCTCCTCAGTCTAGATACAGAGAAACCAAATCGAGCATAGAGTAACATCTCTTCTGTTACCTCTCTGAGTTCAATACCAGAACCCCAACTAATCCTGGCTTTCCTGAGTATGGTGACTTGTCTCATAAAGTGCTCTCTAGGCTGGACAATAAATCAAAATTACATCTCCGTGTAATGCAGATGCTTTTTGGCTTTAGACAACAGTAACATATGCGATTCACCTTTCTCTTCTCCCATCTCTCAGCTGGTTTCATTGTTAGAAATACCAAGCAATCAGCCATTTCATGATTGTGTCCTTCTAGTGGACAAGGGAATTTCAGACCAGGTGAGAACCATGGTTTTGCTTGGAGGGTGTTAGTAACGTGCACAGTAGTCTCTTCATCAGATGAGTACTGTACATTACTAGCCGTGAATGCCGATTTGGGTTTAGACTTAAAATGAGTTGAACTAGAACTACTACTGTTATTACCACCTTGAGTAGAATTAGATAAACCTTTGAATGGCTCCGCTATACTTTGTTCCGTTTCAACGTATTCCTTTAACAATGCAAAGGTATGTATCCCACACGGGTTATCCCAATCTAACTTCCTGTCGGCAAACTTTCTATGCAATTGGTCTGAATCTTTGCCTGGTAAAATTCCAATCATTGATGATAATGTATTACGTGAGTATAATAATGCCTGCAGAACAGCTATAGGTATTTCTGGTACCTTGGATAATTTGTCCAGGCGTTGAATACCGGAAGCAAAATTGGAGAAAAAACACGACCTTTCTCTCTTATCTCCAAGGGTTGGTTTTTTGCCATTGACTAATGCCTTGACAACATCACTTATAATTCTATCCGCAGTGCCATATTCTTCTATCAATCTAGCCTTTATCTGTGCATAATTATCAGAGATGTCTTCCAGTTTGGCTTTAATTGGTTCAGACAGGTGATTAAATAGTTGATAAGCCCTTTGTCTGGAGTTACCCCAGCCCATGAGTGCCATCTCAGCATCATCAAAGAATTCATATATTGTCTTAGCAGCATTATTTGTAAATACACCCAGGTGGTCAAGATTACCCTTACCAGTGGTACTCACGTGGGCTTCAGATCGTACATACAACTGCTCCATATCCAGGATCCAGTTATCTGCCTTTTCCAGTAGGTCATTTACATCAGTGCAGAAGGTGTTATCTGCCCCTGGGTACGCAACATACTTGAGCAAATCATCCCGACAGATTCGAGAATATTTGGTGATCTTGGTAACATCTTCCTTATTGCATTTTTTAATCAATGCCAAATCCGCAGTGTCGGTTATCTTTGTACTAATCAATTGGGAGATCAACCTGACAATTCTATCAATTCCAGCCTTTATAATATTTGCCTCATTAGGTGATCTCATGGTATTTGTATTTGAACAATCCTGATTATGTTGAGCTATAGTAAGATTTATCTCCTGCGTCTTATCTACTTGGTCTTTAATATCAGCCACTAATTCAGTAAGATTTGATATCAGTTGTTCACTTATCTTACTTCTTCTATTAACCTTAACATGACCTTTCTTGATTAACTCAATCTCCTTTCTTACTTCTGTTATAACAGCACCAGGACTAGTCCTTTCTATATTATCCTGTATACCCTTCTTAACTATATCAGACAAATCTCCAGACTCAGTACAAATTATAGATTCATCTAATCTTTGTGCTAGTCCTGCAGCTTTCTTATCAATATAATCTTGAAGCTTTGAATCCACTTCGGAAATTGTAATAGTTAACTCGGTAATATCACTCCTATTCTTTATTGTCTGTGTCTCAACACTCTCAATCCTATCATTAGCTACCTTTATAGATTCTACAAGACCTGTAATCTGATGTTGTAAATGCTTACCAAGTGAGTCAATAGTATCTAACCTATTATTCTGCCTTTCTATACTGATATCTACCAAACTCTGAAACTTAGTAATAATTGGATCAACATAATCCTGAATATTTCCAGGATTATATGAAGATACTGAAGGATTTAAGTTACTATTTGTCCGCTGAGCATTATTAATCATGGACCTAATATTTTCGACAGATTTTATCAGTGGAGACTTAGGACTGAGGTTTGATATTAAATCAGAGGCTACATTTGGCTCACCCCGTACATTACTGCCCGATATAATAGGTGATAGGTTAGGTGGTTGGTTATCTAAATTCTTAGACTTATCATTATCATTGTAAAATGCATCATCATTTTCTATCGAGCTATCTGAGGATGATCGGTGACTGTCACTTTGCAAACTGGGTCCCTTGTCTAAGGAATCTGCTTTTCGTTTAATTCGTTTTATAACAAATTGTAATTCCTGTACCTCATTGATTGTATTGACATCCACGCGTCGTAACATAGCATTAGAGGAAACATCCCGGATTCGTTTAGAAAAAATATCAAAATCCCGGTGTATTTCTTGGATTGGAATCTCAGAGTTTGGCGCTAAAAATATTGTTTGCCAACTCTTAACATCCCGTATTAATTGAAGGCATGATTGCTTAGCAAACTTTTGGCGTTCAACAGCCCTTGTATCCAATTTAACTTGGAGACGGGTTGCAAGACCGGTGCCGAGCGGTGATTCAAAATAATCCTGATCCCCATCATGTATGGATAAATTTGGGTTTGATTGAAATCTTTCACTTGGGATATTACCTACACTTTGGATAATATTGGAACCAGTTTGCAAAGATGTACTGTTTAAATGGTCATGATCACCCTCAGAATTAGATCGACGACGACTATTACTGTCCCCATACTCCTGAGGATTAGACATTTTACTAGATTTGAATACTAAACTTTACATAGTGAATGTAATAATAGCGAGTATTGACTTTTAATCATTAATCTTTGATCTTTAATCTTTGAACTTTAATCTTTAATCTTTAAACTTTAATCTTTAATCTTTAATCTTTAATCTTTAATCTTCAACCAATGTATTTTCAGCTTGAAACTCCATTGATAATTGAGGCCTTTAACAGTCTTTAAATTCAGAATTATTTGCTTAAAAAGGTAAAAAACCGAAAAATATTGATCAAGGAACCAATGCTCATAAAAGGTATAAGATCGAATGTTTCGCTAGGCAACCTCTGCCTAGCAAATATTATCTGGTAAAATGACAAAAAGTAAAAATATTCTACCTTTCACTCATTGCATGAGAAGCTATAGGTTTGATCGTAACCACTCTGTATTGAATAGATAGATAGGACAAGCTCTCTGTAATACTGGATATCAGGTTCACCGCATCTTTTCTGCAACCCAGAGTAGATTGTAAAGGTTCGATCTAAAACAAGGATCGACGGTAAAAATAAGCAGAAAATATAATGAAATAGACTAAATATAAATCAATGTAAACTATCCAAAAAACATTGTCATATTTAACTAAAAGAACCGAGCAATTGACAGAAGAAAAACGTCGCATTAGATATTGTCGACGAAATAAATAAACATGTACCTTATATTTCCCTTGAATCTCGCAAAAGAGTGAATATATCTTGAATCCGCGTTTTTAAAAGGATAACAAATTCCTCTTTTATCCTTTACTTTGAATGCTTAACCGGGACTGAAGCTGCGTGGATTCCTGGAATTGAAATTTCTATACCGGCCCGATACAGAGTACAACTTCAATACCGGCGCGGGAAATTTAAATTATACAACAAACTTGAAGACGAAATTTGAATCTTATAAAATATACAGAGTGAGCCAAAACTCACGAAACAATTATCTATCCTTTTCTATCTTTGTATTCTCTATCTTTTTCTATCTTTGTATTCTCTATCTGTTTCTATCTTTGTATTCTCTATCGTTTTCTATCTTTGTATTCCCTATCTTTTACTATCTTTGTATTCTCTATCTTATCTATCTTTGTATTCTGTATCTTTTTCTATCTTTGTATTCTCTATCTTTTTCTATCTATGTATTCTCTATCTTTTTCTATCTTTGAATTCTCTATCCTTTTCTATCTTTGTATTTTCTATCCTTTTCTATCTTTGTATTCTCTATCTTTTTCTATCTTTGTATTCTCTATCTGTTTCTATCTTTGTATTCTCTATCGTTTTCTAGCTTTGTATTCACTATCTTTTACTATCTTTGTATTCTTTATCTTATCTATCTTTGTATTCTCTATCTTTTTCTATCTTTGTATTCTCTATCGTTTTCTATCTTTGTATTCTCTATCTTTTTCTATCTTTGTATTTTCTATCTGTTTCTATCTTTGTATTCTCTATCCTTTTCTATCTTTGTATTCTCTATCTTTTTCTATCTTTGTGGTTTCTATCTTTTTTCACGATAGGGTTGAATCTTCACTCTTGAATAATCTTCGCTGAAATCCAAAAATCTACTACATGTAAAGATATATCAATATTATTATCATTTTGTTATGATGCACACGTATATACTTATATAAAAAGTATTATAAATTAATACTTCAAGCTAGGTTTCAGTGCCATTTCTGTCGATCTATAGTATACCAAAAGTTGACGTACAGTTCTTCTTTATCCAATAAAACCGTAAAACCATTTCTATCGACCAATAACATACCAAAATTTGATGTACAATTCTTTTTTATCCAATGAAACAATTTATAGCGAGGATGTTATATTTGTAGAATATTTTATATCGCAAAACTTTGTGATTCTAGTATAAAAGCTTTGTAAACTTTGTATATTGCCACTTTGTATATTCTCCACTATTGTGAAATATACATGACAGAAAAAAGCACCTGCAACTTTTTTGTTAAATATAAAAATGTTGGAATACTGTAAATATTGTAAATATTGTAGATATTGTAATTCAGATTTACATCACTTTAAAAGTTAAACATTTTTTGATTATAAAAAATATATTAAAGCTGCATTTCTAGATAAAAATCAATTAAAAATTAAAAAGCTAGAGTTGTTGCAAAAGATAACAAAAATAAAAATCCATTTATTGTAAAGCATACAGAGATCCCTAGCGGAGAAATATGGAACTAAAGAAAACTCTATGGATCCTGTTGTAATAATCCTGTTAGATAAAATATCAGGTTCTTTTATATATCCCTGCAGTTTGGTAGCAGAGGAAGAAGAGGTTGCGGGATCATAAGAAAGTGTATTTTTACAAATATTTGGCTTCACGTATAGGACATGAGTCTAGTGGGCATTCTACGCACACTACACCTGCTGCCTCATATTTATTCATGTATCTATATATCTACCTGCTCAACGAGTTTTGACTACTGAGGATCGTCATAAGCAGGCCCGAAACCAGGGGGGGGGGGTGCAATGACGAATTTGCACCCCCCCCCAGTCCCATATAAAAGAAATTGTTTCTCATAATTTTCTAAAATCTAGTTCCAATAATATAGCTCAAGCTGTCAAGCAAGAGTTGATTTCCTTCCTAAACCAAATTATAATCTTATTGTGTGTTACTCATTAAAAGTGGGTGTGTGTGTTTTTTTAGACACTAAAATGTAACCCTTAAAAGCTTAAATACACTTGTTAAAAAGGTTTGTTAGCATATTGTCAATGTAATAAAGAAAACCAAATACCACCGTAAAAACAAACCAAGCATTGCTTTTTAAAAAACCCAAAAAAAATTTTGAATAAAATGTGAAATGAAATATTTATCTATTATATATCTAATTATCCATATATCTATTAATCTATATATCAATTTTCTATCTATTTATCTATATATTTATCTAGTGATTTATATATCTTATCCAATTATCTATCTATCTATCTATCTAACTAAACATCTATTGATTTATTGATCTTCCTATTTATCTAACTTTATAACTATGGTATGATATTTTTTTGAGCGCTTTTGCGTTTTCATTTCTGTCAAAAACTTTTATTTTATTTGTCAAAATCACAGCTAACATGACATCTTCGCCAGAGTTGGTTTTCCAAGGTCGTATACAGGGGGGGTTAAGGGGGGCATGCCCCTCTTAGACCTGTAAAAGAGGGGGCGTAGCGCCCCCATAAAACTCAGAGCTTTCACACTTTTCAATTCATAAACTCAAGAGTGAAGAACATAAAAAAAAGTTTGCTGTTCATTCAGTGCAATACAAAGATTGTATTAGTGGACCAGAGCCAACATTACAGAAGTCCGAATGAAAAATCTATTTAGAATGCACATTCATCCTAATGTTTGGCTTTGCTTGAGTTTAGAGGTAGTAAAAGACCACTTATTGTTTTCTTTATTTGGATTTAATAAACTTTATTCATTGCACCGCCGTTTTGTCCCAGGCGTCTCCCGTGGATTTTTAAAATTCAAAATAAAACAAAAAACTTTTAATTTATTTAGCTTATGTCATCCCCAAGGATATCCATGAGTTTCCTTGCTAAAATTCAGCCCAATTGATTTTTCATTTTCAAAAATGTCTTTTACTATCTCTAGTTTAAATACTAATTATTACTAACATAATAGCATAATAAAGTCGATTTTTTAGAAACAATGTTTTTTTCTGCTAGTTTTGTTTAAAGGATAGATAAAGTAGTATGTGCAAGGTAATTGGACTGTATGTACGTGTACAGTGTGCCTTTAAAGTTTCTTATACTTATGCCTGATATCCAAGAAGCCAAATGTTTTGAATTTACAGTTCAAATTTTGCCCCACCCCCTCCCCCATAGAGGCTACTATATTGTTTAAACTTTTCTATTTAATTTTTGAAAACGTATCATCTAATTGGAGAAAATATTGTCTTCCTTGTTATATTTGACACTTGTGACTTTACGTATAGGTGGTCAATTTCTCTATTACCATCTAGTGTACTTGATAATCTATTTGGTGTTGTACTAATAGAAGAAATTCGTGTTTACAAACACAGATACTGAAATGTTTCTCAATGTTACAGAACATCATACAACGTTTTGCACAATAACAAAACAGTCTTTTACCGTTCACAAAAAATATACTCTATCTAGGAGACGTAACTTTATTTTTAGCACTCAAATCAGGTACCATAATACAACCTTAGTTCTTTACAAAGACGACTTCGAATTCTTCTCTTAATTTCCATGTTTATTGGGACACCCTGTATATTTTCTGTGTATTTAAGTGCCCTGATTGAGATTCCAAAGATGATTACAATCCTGAAACAGATAAATAACATCGAGTTCTCAAAACAAGAAAAGAGTTTTCTAGAGGTAATCTTTCATTAAAAAGGTGGATTAATCCTTTATAGAGTTTTCTAATGGTAATCATTCAGATAAAGAGTCATTAGTGCAGTTATCTTTTAGATAAAGAGTTTTCTATCAGCAATCTTTCAGATAAAGAGTTTTCTAGTGGAAATCTTTTAGATAAGGAGTTTTCTAGTGGTAATTTTTTAGATAAAGAGTTTTCTAGTGGTAATCTTTTAAAAAGCTTTCGAAAGGGTAACATAAAGATAGAAACGTTTCTGAATGTTATCATTCAGATAAAGAGTTTTCAAGTGATAATCATTGATTTAAATAACACTCAAGAGTTTCATGTTTTGAAACATCTTTCTGTTTACGATTTATTTTTAAACATTTATTTTCTAAAATGGAATTTTAAACCAGAATTTTACTCTCTGTTCAACATGAGATTTAGGATTTTATCCTCAGAGTTTTTACGATAAAGAGTCCATTTACGCTCCGGGATTTATGGTTTTATGACGGAGAAAGTCAACTTTATTTTTAATCTCCTCTCTGTAGAGATGAGCACATTCGACTTTAATCATTTCGTTCGTTCATAGTTCGCAACGACCCATTTCGTTTTTTTCCAATTGTTCATTAACAAATTGATTTTGTTCGTTCTCAAAACTATCGTTAATTTTCCATCTATTTCGTTCGTTTTCTCACTACATGATCGTTCAATAAAACCGTTTTTTTCAGTAAAAACTATAGATTTTTCAAATATTTGTTCGAAAAAATCGTTCATTCAGTAAAAAATTATTGGTTTTTTATTTTGTTCCAAAACTTCTTTTTTTTCAAGTTTGTTCGAACAATTTAAAATATGTTTTCTTTTTAATGATCACTTTTTCATTTCTCTGACCGATCCATTTTGATATTCCATCGTTCATTTTTGTCTGAACGACACACTTTTTTACGAGAAATATTGTTCGTTCCAGAAAACGATGCCCATTTTTACCCCTCCCCCCCTCTTTCAGTCCTCCCCCCTTTCAGAAGCCCCCTCCCATCTCCTCTCCGTATCCATCTTAGTTTATGGGGTGTTTACAACTCTTACTGCACTGCACAATTTAAATGGATTCTTTCATTTCGGATTAAACAGTTTTTACCAAATCCTTTAAGAAATTAAAGGGACTGTGCGTGAAGTGCAAAGTTTATAAGGAAATGCCGAATTACAACGGTTTCCTTGAAAGCTTATATACCTGACATAAGTCTGGTAGGTGGGAAGGTACCTGACATAAGTCTGGTAGGTGGGAAGGTACCTGACATAAGTCTGGTAGGTGGGAAGGTACCCGACATAAGTCTGGTAGGTGGGAAGGTACCTGACATAAGTCTGGTAGGTGGGAAGGTACCCGACATAAGTTTGGTAGGTGGGAAGGTACCCGACATAAGTCTGGTAGGTGGGAAGGTACCCGACATAAGTCTGGTAGGTGGGAAGGTACCTAAACTCAATTCCTTTCAACATTTGAGTTCGAGGCGATTGTTCCGTTCTTTACCTGCATTAAATTAAACTTCTATAAAAAGATAAAGCTAGGAAACTAAAGATTGATTGTAAAAAATATTTAGAACAATACTGCCTACCAAAGGGGGGTCTCAAAAAAGTGCACCACTATGAAATCTTTTAAATACGTTTTTGAAACGGAACTACCCCTTCATGCTTTTTGTGAAAGTCAAGAACTCTATGTTTATTTGTATATTTAAACATTAATTTGAATTTCAGTTTAAAAGATGAACATTTCAAGCAACATGGGATTTGAGTTGAACCCTTGGGATTCATATTTTATATTTATAATTTTAAAAATATAAATAAGTAAATGTCTTTATTAAAAAATAATCGTAGATGTGCATTTTTCTTTTTTAAACAACCAATATCATTTCTATATCTTTTCTAATGAAAATGCATTTTACATCTAAAGTTTCAGGAAACTAATGTAAAAAACAACTCTGATTTGATTTCGGATTTTTAATCTATCTATAAAGTTTTCCATTTTGAATTGTGAATTAAACCTTTGTTTTCGAAATTCTATTTGTTATAATCTAAAAGCATTAAAACATATGTTAAAGGGACAGTAAAGGAAAAATGAAAGGGGGTATAGGCTGAAAGCTAATCACTTTAGCTCTTGATCGCGACCCATGAAAGTTTTATCTGATGTTTCTGTCTCGAGAAATTGATATAAAACTGTGTTAAAATTATACGAAAGTTCATATATGTAAAATTTAGAAAATCTTAAACTTAAATCACGTGACCAGAACTATCACCAATGGCAGAGCAGTATACTGAACACGTGTCTCCGCCTGTATCACGTGACCACTTTACTACACTGTCATTGGTGGATTTTCTGGTCAAGCAATTCGGACGTGTAAATAATAATATGAATTAAATCTATTAAAAATAGAAATAACAAATATAAAATTAGAATTGGAGTAAACCTAAGTAATAATTAGCTTTCTCGGGGATATTATCGTTTTCAGATTGGTTGCTTATTTGCTGAATTTGATCTATTTAAACCCACTACTTTTATACAAAATTGTATATATATTAATTTTCGTATAAATTTGACACAGTTGTAGGTCAATTTCTCGAGATAAGAACATCAGATAAAACTTTCATGGGTCGCGATCGAGAGCTAAAGTGATTAGCTTTCAGTCTATACCCCCTTTCATTTTTCCTTTACTGTCCCTTTAACATATAAACATATGTATTATGCAAAACTCTAAAGAATAATTTTCAAATCTATTTTCTATTTTTTTTGGTATGAAATTTTTCATTTTTTGATTTTTTTACGCTCTAACAAGTTTGTTTTTACATTTGATCGCAGATCAAGCACAAATTTAGCAGAAGCATTGAATGACTCGGGGGCATTCCAAATATTTATAATATTTATAATACTAGCTTTGAAACCCAGCAGTGCTTATAGTACTCATAGTTACTACATCCGTTTACCCGAACGTGGTCGTAAATTACGATTTTAGCTATGTTTCCCGATAAAAGTCCACACACTCAACTTAGAATCTCAAAGAAAAATTCCCGTGGCTCTCCCAGGTTCCGCAATCATTTGAGGCAAATCGGTCCATGGGATTCTTAGTTATAATCTGACAAACAAACAAACAAATAAACAGACAGACAGAATATGCACCCAAACAGAGATTACAACTTTATACGTAGATGTATATAGATTTATAATGTTTGTAATGTTTATAATTCTTAAATAGTTTATATTTTCAGTTTTATTTTGACTACGCTAAACCGTTCATGACCATCTATCTTCCTCTGATCCTGTTGATTCTGCTAAACACAAGAATATTCCACACAATCAGGAACAGTAGGAACAGGTCAATATAATCAGGAACAGTAGGAACAGGTGAATATAATCAGGAACAGTAGGAACAGGTGAATATAATCAGGAACAGTAGAAACAGATCAATATAATCAGGAACAGTAAGAACAGGTCATTATAATCAGGAACAGTAGAAACAGGTCAATATAACCAGGAACAGTAGGAACAGGTCAATATATCAGGAACAGTAGGAACAGGTCAATATAACCAGGAACAGAAGGAATAGGTGAATATAATCAGGAACAGTAGGAACAGATGAATATAGTCAGGAATATTAGGAACAGGTCAATATAACCAGGAACAGTGGGAACAGATGAATATAGTCAGGAACAGAAGGAACAGATGAATATAGTCAGGAATATTAGGAACAGGTCAATATAACCAGGAACAGTAGGAACAGCTCAATATAATCAGAAACAGTTCAATATAATCAGGAGCAATAGAAAAAAATCATTATAATCAGGAACAGTAGAAACAGATCAATATAAGCAGGAACAGTAGAAACAGATCAGTTTAATCAGGAACAGTTGGAACAGATCACTGTAATCAGAAACAGTAGGAACAGATAAATATAATCAGCAACAGTAGGAACAGATGAATATAATCAGGAACAGTAGAAACAGATCAGTATAATCAGGAACAGCAGGAACAGGTCAATAACCAGAAACAGTAGAAACAGATCATTATAATCAGGAACAGTAGAAGCAGATTAATATAATCAGGAACAGTAAAAACAGATCAGTATAATCAGGAACAGCAGGAACAGGTCAATAACCAGGAACAGTAGAAACAGATAATTATAATCAGGAACAGTAAAAACAGATCAATATAATCAGGAACATTAAAAACATTTCAATATAATCAGGAACAGCAGGTGTGTCAAAATAGGACATTAATAATTATTTTTATAATCAAGTAATTCTGATCTTTAATGTGCTTTAATTCTAATTTTTTAAGCTAAAATCTCAACTGATAAAGTAGTTTATCCTTTTATTTTATACTTTAACTATTCAAGACTAACTAAATATATTTCTCTTAGAATAGTTTTTAAATGCTTGGTTTCTACTAACTTAACATTCTTTCTTCAACACAGTAAAGAACAAAAATTACTTGGTTACAAGACTCTATCCAGTTAATTTTAAAGTATTTTACTTGATGTTATCCGTCAGATGGTTTATTCACAATAACTTTGAGTAGAGTGGCAATACATAGGTCTTACATGGTATTTATACTGAATCACAAAGGGTTGCAGTTTGCGTATAAAATATATATTTATAATGACTATACAAAGATTCGTTATACATGGTTTCATTGGATACGAAAATGGTTGTACATCACATTTTGGTATATTATTGGTCGATGGAAATGGTTTCATGGTTGTATTGGATAAAAACGGATTGTACGTCAAATTCTGATCTACTATTGGTTGATAAGAATGGCACAGGGGCCTTAGCTTGAAGTTGTTTTTTAGACGTCTGGATTAACAGGCTGTGTAACTTTACGTTGAAAAAGATTGAAGTATATAGAAAAAAGGATGTATTTTTCATTACAATGTCAAAGTATATGCCAGGAATTCAAGATTAAAATATGAATCGTTGAAATTTAAGGTTAAGATTACAGGCAAAAAAATATAGATAGATAGAAGGGTTTGTGACTTATCAATATTTACTGCGTTATGCATACATATTTATTTAATATTCTTCACACAGGAACAGGTCAATATAATCAGGAACAGTAGAAACAGATCCATATAATCAGGAACGGTAGGAACTGGTCAATATAATTAGGAACAGTAGAAACAGATCGATATAATCAGGAACAGTAGGAACAGGTCAATATAATCAGGAACAGTAGAAACAGTTCAGTATAATCAGGAACAGTAGAAACAGTAGAAACAGATCAGTATAATCAGGAATAGTAGGAACAGATTAATATAATCAGGAACAGTAGAAACAGGTCAGTATAATCAGGAACAGTAGAAACAGATCAGTATAATCAGGAACAGTAGAAACAGATCAATATAATCAGGAACAGTAGGAATAAATGAACAATATTTAAGAAAATTATTCTATCCTGATAGAACTTAGAGTTACATTTAAGCTTTGCTTTATTTAGTTTAAAGCTTATCTTGAACCCTATTAACCTTGATGGTCTCATTTACTTAAATTTATTGATAGTTTCTGTCTGATTATGAAACTTAAACTGGAAATTCAAATGTAAAATCTCTCAACTTTATCCTAGAATATAGCTCTGTAAAAACTAATGATAACTGTTTTAAAACCTTCGCAACCCTTTTCCGAGGACCTTCAAAAGATATTCTAATTAGAAACAATTTTCCTTTTTTAAATCATTTGCTAATTTTGTACGCGAGAGGTGTTATATATTTTTGCATTTTAACCAAAAATTTGAAATATACATTAAGTGTGGTTGCATAATCAAACTTTATGTTGACAAAATCAAGAAAAGCTGTGATTGGTCTAAACACTTTAAAAACGTATTTTGAAACAACAAAATTTTTAATTTCTCTTTGTGACATGGAAACGACTTGTTATCTTATTACTGATCAGAAAATCACGAAAATGTTTAAACTTTTTAGTTTATGTTTTGTATTGCTTGGGGTTGAGGCAATGTTTACTAATGAGAAACCACACAATATTTAGCCTATATTTTATACAGTAGGAGCCAGAAAACAGTAGAATCGGAAAACTACTGGTAGAATTAAAATATGATTTTGAAAATTCCAATGAACATTAAAAACAGCAAATGTGAACAGACACATTGTTTTCTATCAAAATATAGTACACATAAGATTGTTTTAATGTCGTCTTCCTGCTACTCAGTTTTAATGGTGTAAATGTACACAGCAAAGTTTCAAACTGGAAAACACAAATTTTTTGAATTTACCCTTATCTTAGTTTTGGTTTTGCTTAAATATTGATATCAATTATCAAATTGAGGAAATACGAAAATATTAAGGGGAGAATATTTTTTACACAATTTGATCCTGAGACATTTAAAAAGACTTTTATCAAATCGTTAAGATCAAATTTTTAGGTCGACATTACTTTGTAATTCTTTTTCTAGATTTTATATTCGAGAAAGAACAAAAGATGTTTAATGGAGGAATTGAGTTTTTTCCACAAGCGCAAAATTTCTAATCTACATATCTTTTATCCAATTACATTTTAAACATAATTCATAGTTTGGAATATCTAAGGTCTGTGACTTGGGGTTGGAAAGATATAAGGATTCAAAAATCGGAGTTTGTGGAAAGACTCAATTAATTTCTAGAACACTCCCTTTAATTCTGATTTTGCTGTTTAGTTTACGAGTGAATGCAGGAGGAGGACCAGGAGGAGGATCAGGAGGATCAGGAGGATCAGACAAAGAACGCAACTTTGCTACAATTCTTGTCAGGAAATTATTATGCTCAAATCTTTGAAGCCAGGACTCAAATTATAAACTACGACATTTTAAAATTATACAAACAAAATTTTCTTCTATCAGGCTTGCAGTGGTACAACTGTATTATTTTACATTAATTATTTCAAAATATCTTTAGGGAATTCTTATTATTATTTTAAGTAAAGGAGTTGAGTCTTTGCCAAGTAAGAAGTTAGAGCTGAAAAACAATTAGTCGCTACTTAAGTATTAAACGTTCTAAATTCAATCCTGAAGGAAAATTTAAATTTCCCGGGTAAATATGAATCAATCAGATTACGGAGATTACGGAGATTACGACAGAGAAATTATACAATATTAAGCTGTTTCGTAATTTCAATTTCTTCAAAAAAAGCGCGAAAAGTAACAAATATAAATTTATAAATTTAGATCGTCGTTTAGAATCTAACTCGCCGAAATCGACGAGTTAAATATTCAACCCGGGGGTTAAATTAAGTCAGAAGTGGCATTTAAACTGAAATAACTTTCGTTCTTTAGATTTAGACTCTGATCTTATAACATTTAATTTTTCAAACTTAGATTATTTGATCTAATATAATTCATTTTTTTTTAAATCTAATGTTTACGACAATGGTAGACAAATGGATAAGAAGATCAGAGAATATGACAAACTTAAAACAGATGAATGGAATTTCTGCCACAAACTCAAATTATCCAATCCCTATATATTTGCAACCTGTAAACCTGTAATACTTCAAATTTAGATTATTTGATCTAGAATAACTTTAAAATCTTAGATTTACGACATTGTGCCATGGCAAAGATAAAGGGATAAGAAAATTTTATCTTAAGGCAAAGACTCTGAATTACTTTAAAACAAAATTAATTAAGATTTTTAAATATATTTTGTCGAGCATATTCATTTTCAGCATAGTTCTTCTGTTCCTGTTTACACATAGCCTGAGGAACCAATGCGTTTTTTTAACACTATAGATTCAGTAGAAGTAAATAATTCCATTTACTGATAGCGCCTATTAAAAGGTTCATATCTCTAATTGGATAATGAGATACATAGAAAGATAGATGTTACCGCCATACTATTTCTTTTGGTTCAGAATAGACAACAAACACATGACTGAACCCTGATTGGATCGGCATACAAGTGTGTTGAAGTTATATATTCGATGTTTTTGGATAATCTGAACTAAATTCATTTACAAAACAATAGAATATTTAGTAAAATAAGATTGATTTTTCATTATCATATTTCACCATTTCCTCATCTGAGTTAGACCCAACTGGTTTTGTTAAGTTGTAGTGATTAGACTCTCCTTGAAGAAAAACAAGGTCCTACATATCTACAGGCTATTCATATAATAAAAGCCCTGTTCTTGATATTAATCATTAATTGATAATTAAAGATTAATTGGTATTTATTGATATTATTTAATCACGTGAATGTTACAAAACAAAGTGCATTCTGTTTACATATACGAATAGACAGAAATATTCTTTCTAATTTTTTCATTTCAAACATAAAATTCGTCTAAAAAATCGTAAAACATAGTCCAATAAAAAGTATAAAATAGAAAATACGAAAAATCTTCATTTTACAGGTGAAATTGGAATTTATCTTAATCCTCGAATTTACGTGTCAAACAGGTTTTAGGAGGTTGCAAAGTGTTTCAAGAAATTTTGAAAAGATAAACTGTATTGTATGTTGAGATTGGATTGGTCTAGAGGGGAACATTGACAAAACTAGAGAGAAAATAAGCTTTGGTTGGTATTCCATTCATCATGGTCTTCAGTTCAGGGGGGGCATTGTTCATTCCCCAAAAGCCCCAAGGGGAACGTGAGCACCCCTCCACCTTTCTCATAACTGAATTTTAAAAATATCAAGAAATTATGGAAAAACTAAAAAAAATGCCCCTTAGATAGCCCATTTTTAAAACACTGTGCCTCCATGGATAACTAAAATTGTATCCTGAAAGGACATGAGTTTTTGCAACAAACTCAAAATTATGATCCATATATCTGTGCAACCCGATGTCATAGATTTTGATATTTCAAACTATGAATTCTGATAGACCTAAAAGACTAAGTTTTAAATATCAAAGGTTTACATCATCAGGTTTCAAAGAAATAGGAATCAGAAAATTTGGTTTGTGGTAAAAACTCAATTCCTTTGAATGATGTCGTAGACTCACAGCGAATAGTTAAAGTTTAAAACATTAAAGGTTTACAGCATCAGGTTTTAAATTTTATGTATTCCATAATTAGACTTTGGGGCGAGTAATCAGTCCCAATTTCCTGAAACATACAATTAGACAGTGTACTTCAAGTCTTGAATATTATTTTTAGACAGTTTTGTCTTTATACCTGGTTTATTAAGGATACAACAGGGAGGGATTTAAGTGTAACCATTACTCTAATAGCTTTCTAAGAATGAGATGGGATAAAGTAATAGCAGCAGTAGATAACTTTTCATTGTAATTTGGAGTATCTCTTTATTTGGACTTCTATATTTTTATTGAATTTTGAAGATACTATAGATATGTCGGTATACATATGTATATATAATATATGTATACATAAATTTGAGATACCATTGTATATTTGGATTGGACCTCTAATTGTATATTTGGATTGGACCTCTAATTTTAGCTATTAAACCATCAAGTCGGTTTTCTATATAGATCAGTTTCCGTAGCATGATAAAATAATATTGGTTTTGTTTAAAGTATAAATCCATTAGGTCGGGTTCCTCTATAAATCAGTTTCCGTAGCATGATAAAATAATATTGGTTTTGTTTAAAGTATAAATCCATTAGGTCGGGTTCCTCTATAAATCAGTTTCCGTAGCATGATAAAATAATATTGTTTGTGTTTAAAGTATAAATCCATTAGGTCGGGTTCCTCTATAAATCAGTTTCCGTAGCAAGATAAAATAATATTGTTTGTGTTTAAAGTAATAACCCATTAGGTCGGGTTCCTCTATAAATCAGTTCCGTAGCATAATAAAATACTATTGGCTGTGTGTAAAGTATAAAACCATGGTCGGGTTCCTCTATAGATCAGTTTCCGTCGCAAGATAAAATACTATTGGTTAAATGTAGAGAATTAAACCAGATATATAAAGGGACAGTAAAGATGGAATACACAAACGTTGTGCTTACAAGAACCAATAGGTCGTTTTCTTCTAGATCAGTTTCCTTTAGGTTGGTTTCCTGTGGGTCGGTTTCCGTAGCATGATAAAACAATATTGGTTGTGTGTAGAGTATTAAACCAGATATATAGAGACAGTACAGATAGAATTCTCAAACATTGTGCTAACAAGAATCTCACACCCGTCATACCAAGGTTAGTTTTTTTTTTGAGTGGAATTTTGGAAATGTTTCGAAGTCCTCGAAAATGTTTTTTAACCCATAAATTTTTTTTTATAAAAAAATATTTTTAAATTGTATTACGTACTAAGGTGGAATGTTGGATGTGCATCAGCCTTGCCACTGGGCTGCTATACAGTACACATGAATTATTTTTATATTTTTATTGTAAAAAGACTTTATTTTTATTTTTATTTTCACAGCTCATGTGTTTTTTCTTAAATTAACACCTTTTTTATTCTCTCCTATTATAACGCTTGGTAACAAACCACCACTACCCTAGGATGATTATTTTAGGTATTTTATCGGATATGTTCATAAAAAGTTTTTTGGGGAGGATTTTTCTTATCTGGTTCATTGGATTCATAATTTACCAGATTCTTATTTCAAAATAGAACTGGGATTAGGGTTTTCTGCGAACGAAACGTTCCGCACAAAAAATGCGAAAATTGTTGGTCACATTTTGCAAGTTTTTTCGCGAAAATAAATGAAGCAAAAATACAAAATGCGAATATTTTCGTGAAATGTGTAATGTATCCCAGTCGTTCTTGAATCTTTATTTATTTTTTGTGCTAATCTACAATTGTGCTCGTGGATAAATCGCTCTTTGAAAATGAGTCTTTTATTTTCAAAATTTAATCTTTTTTGATGAATTTTCGCAACTTTTTCGCTAAAATTTTGCTGCAATGGTTTTTGAAAATTTTGTATTTTTCGCAAAATTCTCTTTTTCTTTGCATAATTTCCATTTTTCGCAAAATTTTCGCTTATTCTCGCGAAATTTTCTCATTTTCTATTTCGCAAAACAGATTGAAGCGAATAAAGCGAAAATTTCCGAATTTTTTGTGAGCGAACGAAATGCAAAAAAAAAGTGAAATGGTCGCAAAAAAAATTTCGCGGAAAACGCGAAATTTTCGAGAAATGATTTTTCCTTTTGGCTGGAAACCCTAATGTGAGTTTGTTGCAAATCTCAATCCATTCCATTAGAAAATCTTTTCAACATACAAAGTTCTTTAGACCTATTTATGCAAGCATTTTTGAGATACCCCCATCTTTTTTAAACTTAAACCTTAAACCTTTAAAGATATTTGTTGTACAATCTATCATTTTTGAGATACCCCCATCTTTTTTAAACTTTAACCTTAAACCTTTAAAACATTTTGAGGTATTCATAATTTTTTTTAGTTTAACCTTAAAAACTGTTTAACATATGTTTGTAACCTTTTGTTTGGAGGTCTAATAAATATATGTTTATGTATATGATCACGTATTAAGATGGCTTCGAACCATGACTCTACTGGTGGAGCTGGAGGTCTAATGAATATATGTATATGATTATAATCTCGTATATTTAAGATGGCTCCGAAGCCTGAATCTTCTGGTGGAGCCTGCAGGTCTAATGAATATTTGTATATAATCTCGTATATTTAAGATGGCTTAGAACCCTGCATCTACTGGTGGAGCCTGCAGGTCTAATGAATATTTGTATATAATCTCGTATATTTAAGATGGCTTAGAACCCTGCATCTACTGGTGGAGCCTGCAGGTCTAATGAATATTTGTATATAATCTCGTATATTTAAGATGGCTCAGAACCCTGCATCTACTGGTGGAGCCTTCAGATCTAATAAATATATGTATATGTATATAATCTCGAATATTTAAGATGGCTTCGAACCCTGAATCTACTGGTGGAGCCTGCAGGTCTAATGAATGCTTCCATAAACTTCATTATTTACTGCTTAGCTGGAACTAGGTAGGATTTAAAAACAAAGACAGCTGAGAATTTGACAGGTTCTGAAAATGATCGTTATCTGGATTTTTAGGAATCCCTGTCCTGCCCTTTTTAGAGAAAATTCCATTTCAACTTTGGTGTGTAGTTTAGACTGAAAAAAAGCGTTTGACCCAAAAGTTTTCATGAGATTATTAGGCAATCCATTACTTCTTGAGCTTTTCTGCTTAATTATTATCATCATATAATGAATTTTCTCAAAAAGTACTGGACAGGGATTTCTAAAAATCTACATACTAGTTCTAGACATAGTCTACTTTCAGAATCTATAAAAACCTCAGCACGGGCAGCCGTAGTACATTTGAATATCCGAGCAGGGTCAACCTTTCCGGTCCCAGTTTGTAAGCAGACAGTCAACAGGACTAGCCGGTATAACTAGGTTGACGCGGTCAGACTTTATACTGCATATAGGTTGAATTTACTTTTCCTAAAGGGACAGAGGTGCGTGTCAGATGTGTTTGTTTTAAATACCTATACTTAATAGTTGAGGTGAACGGTGTGAAATGATATTTTGATTAATCCAATCATTAACTAAAATGAAGAATGCTTAAAATGTAGGAATATATTTAAATAAAATTAGCATCTTCAAAAGTTACAGTTTCATTTTTGTACCAAAGATTAATTGTTTTTATGATTAATAAAAATAACATCTGTGCGGCCCCCCCTCCCCAAACAAATATTTCTACCCCTAGGATGACGTCGAATTGAAATCGATATCGATCGCTATTAATTTTTCTTCTATCTCTTGCATTTGTAAGGAGAAAATTGTTAAAATCGAGTACAAATAGAAATTCAGGGATTTGCATTATTTTGCTCCGATCGAAAATAATTTAATTAAATTAAAAATACTCGTGTCTTTACATTACAACCTAATTATCGAATACTCGTGTCTATACATTACAACCTAATTATCGAATGCAATTCGATGCATTCGCTGTACTATGTAGTTGATATTTCATAATATTTTTAATTTTTTTTTAAATTAATATTTCGCTCACAACTTGTTTTCACGGCGCTGGATTTTCAAACATTTCTTGAAAATATGGAAATGTCGTCTTCAATATCAAAAATCCTCGAAACAGGAATGAATGTTTAAAAAAGTAACTCTCGGATAATAAAATATTATGAAATATCAACTCAAATATACGAATACATCAAATTAAATTCAACAATTGTGATTATAATTTCTGAACACTCCCTTTAAATAATTATTTGATCTAGGTTTCGAACAGTATTGATTAGATCTGCTAGAAATACCTTTAAAAGTTCCTTCTCTGGGTCTAGAAATACTGAGGAATATGTACTCAACTCAAAGAAAAGGTAAATGTCGTTTTTAGGTTCTTTTTCAAACATTTTTGTTTTGTCTAAAGAAACAGGGCAGTTTGTGAAGAGTTTTAAATGTCTTTTTCCATACATATATTTTATTATATATATATAATATATATAGTATAGCATATATTAGATATAAAAGACTTGTTGCAGTTTATTTCGTTAAAAAAATCTTTTCCGTAAATATATTTTACTTTGAAATTAATTTTACTAAAATATGACTGCCATATTATAATTTTCATTATTCTCTTTCAAACAACTTAACAAATTATGGAAGAAGACATTTTAAACCATTTACCAACTGTCATGTATCTTGGGACACCCTGCATATTAAAACTGCTTTTTTACGTTGTGCAACATTTTGTCTCTAACATGAAATAAGGCCAAACCAAAAAATAAAAACAAATTTTAAAATCTTTGTTTTATAGATCTTTTGACAAAGAAAGAATGATGCACAATGGAATACAGTTTTGATTCTAAGGCAGACGGCCCAAAATATAAAAACTGTTGAATATTTTTGATTTTCTAAGTAAGGATAAACTTTCCTATTATTCCGACGCTGAAGTAAAAATCTTTGAATGTTTAAATGTTTTCGGAAAACCTACATTAGTAGGCGAATATACCAATACAATGAAGACGACTTTTGATTTCATTTTTTATTGATATCACGCTGTTAAAACAGTATGGATACACACAAACATAGTTGTCAAGAAAAGCTGTCAATTAAATAAGCTTCTCTTTGATTGCATGTAGACTTATAAATAAAAAGGATTTTTAACAATTTAAACTTTTTAAAAAACCGTCTTCATCGTGATAATATATTCGACATATAACTTTTTTATTTTTTAGATTTTTCAGGAATATAATAAAATCAGGGAAATTTTTTTTATTAAATTTCTATCCCGCATTTTTACTTAAAATTTCATGATCTTGGGTTTTTTTTTTATCGTTTTCCGAGGCAAATAAATATCACTTTATACCGGCAAATTAGGTTTCCCTTCAAATTTTGTGGATTTAAATAAAAAAAATCGCACATTTTTATTAAACTTGCACTGAAATATATCCAACTGTCTTGTTTTATCATTTGGCAAATTATGTTTTTTGTTGTGATTTTTACTTTTTTGTCAGTTTTTGGTATAAATTCATGATTTTTAATCAAAACGTTTGAGATTAAAAATATTAAACAATCAAAAAAAGTAAAAATCGTGACCAAAAACATATCGTCCCGCATAATAACACACGACAGTTGCAGAAATAAATATTTTAATTCATTCTATATTTTATCTAGGATTTGCAACCCCTTGCTTGTACCAGAGGCCGATCTAATGAAATCTACGGAGCTATGAAAAAATATTACACAAAATTTTTTATTTATGTTTCCCTCAGTCATATTTTCTCTCGAATAAACCAAAAATCTAAATTATTAAGGAGACTGTAAGCGTAATTTCAAGTGACCCTTCATGCAAATGTGGCCTTGCCCGATTCACAACGGTACCCTTGAAACCTTTACCTGATTTATAATGTGGAAGATATTATAGTTTATCTCGGTTTGAAAATGTTTAGTTCTTAAAATTTTCCTGAAGTAAAAAATGCACGTTTGTAAAGAAACGGCAAATAAAGATCAGTTTTCAAAATTTTAAATGTTGATATCTTATTTATCCTTGATCTGACAAAGCTTTTATTGGTATAAATGTTGTGAATTGCAGAGAGTCCCCTACTCTTACAGTCCATCTCTATGTAACAATTCTTTATATTATAATTTCTTTTATATTGATTTTCTGTTCTAAACCACCAACAACATGATATAAGTATATAAGTATTTTTGAATATAAATGTTAAGCGTAATTCATTGATGTATGATAATAATTTTCACTTGTTCAATTGTATTTTGAGAATTCAGACTTTTTTCATTTCCTAAGAAAAGGATTAAACCCTAGACCTCGGTTAATCCAATTAAAATTGAGATTACTATTGAAACTTTTTAGCCAGGATATGATAAAACAATGTCTGACCCGTATATTTTCAATGTAATTACAGGGTACGAAAGGGCAAAGCATTGATAAATTTATAAAAAAAATTAAAATAAAAAATTTTTTATAATTGAGAAAAAAATATGCAAAACATGTTGACTGGGGTTTAAAAAATGGAATTATTCAAATCAAAACCTTAAAAATACCTAAATTTTTAAACTTTTTTTTTCTGATAATAGTATTTTCGAAGTATCTGAATATTTAAATTCATGTGAAATCAAATTTAAAATCTAAAAAATTACTGTCAAAATAATTGTGATAAATAATAAGTCTGTTGTAAATTAAATAATGATGTATTCTAAAAGCTAACTAGAATGTATAAATGTGATCGCTGTTTTTATTGTGTATATTTTAAAGAAAATATATGTTAAGTGCAGTGTGAGGAAAAAAAGGATATATCAGTTTTTGTACACCAATAACACCTATTCTGAATGGGAAATGGATTTAGAATATTGATATAGAAACAAATGCAGCATCGCTACTAGAATCCAAATATAATAGAATATATATTAGAGGGGAATTTAGACAATTCCCTCGGTATAAATTTTGTCAGTCCCTTTCAGCCTGAAAGTGTACAAATCATGTAAATGTTCAAAAATTATATGCAGTAGAGTACATAAATAAAGCATCATTTGATTTATAGTTATAACGGAAAATCATCGTTTGTAAAGTGAAAAGCATAGAGTCTATGTGAAATGATCATTGGTCAATTATGAAACCAGCCTATTTCATAATTTGGTTTTCTGTTAATATTAATTTTAGATTTTCTATAAAATAATGTTCCAGGCCCCAAAAGGTTATATGAAGTACACCTGCAGTATGTAAACAGTACAACAAAATGGCCGTTTTAGACTTTTTTCTAGTAAATTCCACTCTAATATTCTATTCTCTTTGCTTGAATCCCTTATTACCTTAATACCTAAATACACAAACACGCCCAAATTGTGTACGCTCAGCAGTTAGGAACCCTAGCTACCTACAGCAGTTAGGAACCCTAGCTACCTACAGCAGTTAGGAACCCTAGCTACCTACAGCAGCTAGGAACCCAAGCTAGCCTACAGCAGTTAGGAACCCTAGCTACCTACAGCAGTTAGGAACCCTAGCTAGCCTACAGCAGTTAGGAACCCTAGCTAGCCTACAGCAGTTAGGAACCCTAGCTACAAATCCTTAAATTACCGTACTGCATTGCTCTCTTAACCGTAACTAAAACTCATAAACTCATAAACTCAACCTAGTCCCGATTGCTTGAATTTTTCGTAGAATTAGCTTAATCTCTTGATTTTGAAGAAAAATTAGTTTAAACCGATTTAAAACAGTACCTTAAAGAATAAATGTGTTTTCCATGACTTTTGAAATTTGAATATTTTTAATTGGTTTCTTAAAAAAACTTGCTCCACGAGGTTTTCTTTTGAAATTTATGAAAACTCAGTTTGTGCCGTGAAGCTAGTTACAGTTTATTTTAAAACAAAACTTAATTTACGAAGTTTTGAAGAAACATGATGTTTTAAATAAGTAAGTTTAATAGATTTCAATAATTTTCCAATCTGTTCCCGGGCTGAAATAAAAACTAAAAAGCGCTTTAAAAAAATTAAAATTGAATGAGTTAGAGATAGAAATATAAACAAGCGACGTTAAAATATTCAATCACAGAAGACGACATTTTCCAGCCAAGTTGTAAACCATTCAAGGCATACAAACTTCCAATATATAAACATGGGAATTAAGAGACGATTTTTTATGTCGTCTTTGATCCTCCCACTTTTATTGTGACAACCATTAATTAAAGCATTTCAGTATTAATGACTAAATTCGCAAGAACCAAGTCTAGGGATTTTCAAAATGTGGTCTGCCTTTTTAATTTTGTTATTTTATTATGAATGGAGAACAAGAATTTTTTAGTAAATTCTAAAAATCTTACCTATATACATCTTGGCACATTTTAAAGTTGTTGTAACCACTTCATTTTAAAACTTTTAAGCACCATACAGTCTTGTTTCTAGAATAAGAACAACAAGAGAAAACAGCAGAATTTTTTCCAAGTTAGTCTAAAACTATGAAAAACGTGAAACTAGAAACAATTATAGTAAAATCACGTAATTATGTATAATTAAGGATTTAAAATATAAGCATCCTTTATGATATTAGTTAATGGCCCAGCAGTAGGTCAAGATAAAACAAATAGATAATTGACCATCAGCTCTAGATAACGTTGTAATTAGAGAAAATGTATGATCACGTGGTTTAGGATCAGACATCTTATCTTGTGTTTTTATTTAAAGGGACAGACCGGCTATGTAAGGTAGTTAAACTGAGTATGCAGTGTTATAGACAAATTCTTTCGGATTCATTTAAGACATATAAAACTTTTTAAAGATCTGTAAATCCTGAGTTTGAGCGCAAATTCGACGTTCAAAATTGTACTTTTGAGTGGATACGTTTTCAGGATTGTTATTTTTGCTAATTATCAAATAACGACGAAAAAAAAATTTAAACAATATTTACAGTAAAATAATTAGTTGTTTAGGAACAATTTGAGAAAATAAAAATTAACTCTTAACAGCTGTTTCTTTTACTTCATAGACTTCAGATTTGCTATCTTCACCGTTATCTAAAATTATTTCTTCCTTGCCCTTTAGAATGAATGCAGACTTGAGTAGAATTACAAATTACGAAATGGAGTGATTTTAAGCTTTAAGATGGATTTTCTAATGATTCTGATTCCTTGCATTAAATTTCTGCAATTCATTTTTCAAATTTCAAAATATTCAACCAGGGCTCTCTTTTTCCTTGTTGGTCTCAACCAAATATATTGTATATATTAGATGGAACAGCATATATAATGTAAACATTAGACCGAACGGAAAAAATATTGTAAAAATTAGATGAAACAGTAAAATATTGTGAACATTAGATCAAACAGCAAAAATATTGTAAACATTATAGAAACAGCAAAGATATTTTATACATTAGATCAAACAGTAAAAATATTGTAAGAATTAGTTCAAACAAGAAAATATTGTAAGCATTAGATCAAACAAGAAAAATATTGTAAACATTATTAGATCAAACAGCAAAAATATTGTAAATTAGATGGAATAGCAAAGGAATTGAGTCGTTGTCACAAACTAAGATTTTAAAATCCCTATATCTTTTCAACCTCGTTTCGTAAACCTTTGATATTTCAAACTTAGATTATTGAATCTACCAGAATTAATAGTTTGAAATATTTAAGGTCTACGACATTGGGTTGCCAATATGTAGGGATTCGAAAATCAGAGTTTGTGACAAAAACTCAATTCCTTTATTGTAAACATTAGATGGAATAGCAAATATATTGCAAGCATCAAATTAAACAGCAAAGATATTGTATACATTAGTACAACAGCAAAGATATTGTAAACATCATTAGATAAAACAGCAAAGATATTGTAAACATTAGATAAAACAGCAAAGATATTGTGTACATTAGTACAACAGCAAAGATATTGTACGCATTAGATAAAACCACATGATTACATATAAAATATCACAGGTTTACTATGTGGTTTTCGTTGGTCTGTTTCATTGGCGTTGAACCATGGGCATCCCGAAAAACCCCAGCCGTCCTACGGAATTTTTGTAAAACTCAATTCCATCGGAAATCCAAAAAGTTTGTTCTGAATCCATTTCTATTTTTTACACCGCAAGGTGATTAAAATTAATGCTTGTTGTTTAAAGACAACTGAGATGGAGTTAATGATCGCAATTTATCTTAGTAAACAGTTGGACCAGCCATATGTTAAAGTAAACAAACTCCAGAATTGAAATACCTACGAAGGATTACTGTTTATTATGATCCTAGTGATAACAATATTTTGAAGGTCTGGCTGACATTAACCAGTTTTCCCGGGACTTTGGAGATTTCTAAAGAATTTAAAGAATGTCGTATTCTTAGCTTACTGATAATGAAATTCTGCAAATATTTAGTTTTTTATTGAATAATTATATGGATTATGGAGGTCTGGGGGTCTCTAAAACTGGTCCCGCATATTCATGGTTATTCATTCATTTTTTCAATTACTGAGATTTAGGTATAATAGAAAATAACCCATTGAAGAATTGTCAAGACGACATTTCATAAATTCTTTCAATGTTCCTGAAGTACCTTGTCAAACAGTATTTTATCAACCCCTGAAGAACCTTTAAATATACAAAAAATTTTATTGTATACAAATGTCTGAAAATCATGAGTTTTCCACATTTTTGCTTGTTCAGATATTATTTAAAATTAGCTGTTAATGATAAAATACCAATAGTTCAGAATATAGTAGCAGAATATAGTAGCAGAATATAGTAGCAGAATATAGTAGCAGAATATAGTAGCAGAATATAGTAGCAGAATATAGTAGCAGAATTCATCGGAAGGAACAGTTTCAATAAGCATGAATAAAAAAATGATGCATCTATGTAATCTCTGTTTGTTTGTTTGTATGTCCGATCATAACTCAGGAACCCCTTGACCGATTTGCCTCAAACTTTGATCGTGGAACTCGGATGAACCATTGGTTACTGGAATAATTGCCTTTGTGGTTTTCAATTCTGTACAAAACAGACTTACACATTTCTGGGAAAACAACATTATCTTTCACATTATTGATCAGGTTAAGGTTTCCAAGGGTGCCATTGTGAATAGGACATGTACCTTTTAAAACGGTTTACAACAACAATCTCTTTGACTCTTTCTGATTTGTCATTTTTTGTTTAGAAATGTCATTTTATTCTATTATCAAGTAGCATAAATAATCTAATACTGTAGTAAATAGGTATCAATCTATACTCTTCCAACACTCTCTTTACTTAAGTTTCAGAAATCAGATGGATAAAAAAATGGAAATCATTTTCAGTTTTGTCATTCTAGTATTTCTGGGAATTAAAGAGATTTTATTTGTCCTTGCAAGTACTCGTTAGAAAGAAAAAAAATTAATACAGTGAATTCCAGATGTATGAATATATTTAGACCATATATATAGACCATCATCAGTTTTTTGTTAATTCTAAAGAAACTTCTTTTTATTTTTAATTCAAGGAAAATTCATAGCCCTGAAATATGAATGCATATTTATATATCAATATTAAACTCATTCTTTCCGCGGCATTTGATCTTAAATAAGTAATACGACATTATATAAAACTCTTGCTATGTATTCAAATATATGGGATTCACTGTACATTTAATTTTCGTTTATATTTTTAACATTTTTAAACCTTTGTAAAATTTCTTTATGCTAGAGTCTGTTGTGCTCCAGCTATTTTTACACAGAAGCATCATTTTTAAACAAAGAATTCTACAAAGTGGTTTCTCAATTCCAAAATGAAACTTTTATAAAAGGTAAATGTATATTTCTATTATCAGTACATAGTGGTTGTCAAAAAACAGTGGAACGTTTGTGGTCTTTGTTTTCTTCTTTTAGCTAGAATTTAAGTTAAATACTTGTAATGTGCTACAAATTCATCTGTTAAATACTTGTAATATGCTACAATTCATCTGTTAAATACTTGTAATGTGCTACAAATTCATCTGTTAAATATGCCCTGACTAGGGAACTTTTGTGTTGGATCTCGATATCCACTCCCTTGATCAAAGCTTTGCCCTTGACTGGGTATAATTACCATGCAGGACATCGAATAATAATAAAATTAATCTTTAGAATAGCAAATTATCGAAATTAAAGATTGTATCTATATATCCACAATTCAAGAATTCCAAGCTCATCAGTGAGAACTTTTGTACTGTGAATCTTGAGATCAAGCCGATCCTTCCATCTCATGCCGATCCTTCCATCTCATGCCGATACTTTCATCTCATGGCGATCCTTCCATCTCATGGCGATCCTTCCATCTCATGGCGATCCTTCCATCTCATACCAATCCTTCCATCTCATGCCGATTCTTCCATCTCAACCCGATTCTTCCATCTCAAGCTGATCCTTCCATCTCAAGCCGATCCTTCCATCTCAAGCTGATCCTTCCATCTCATACCTATCCTTCCATCTCATGCAGATCCTTCCATCTCAAGCCGATCCTTCCATCTCATGCCGATCCTTCCATCTCATGCCAATCCTTCCATCTCATACCGATCCTTCCATCTCAAGCCGATCCTTCCATCTCATGCCGATCCTTCCATCTCATGCCGATCCTTCCATCTCATGCCGATCCTTCCATCTCATGCCGATCCTTCCATCTCAAGCCGATCCTTCCATCTCATGCAGATCCTTCCATCTCATACCAATCCTTCCATCTCATGCCAATCATTCCATCTCAAGCCGATCCTTCCATCTCATACCGATCCTTCCATCTCAAGCCGATCCTTCCATCTCAAGCCGATTCTTCCATCTCAAGCTGATCCTTCCATCTCATGCAGATCTGCAGATTAATATAATTCCTATTTGATATCCCTTGATGTTCATACCCTGCAGGGCTAACTTGAATTGAGATATCAGGCATGTGATTCTAAAATATATAATAGAGTTCAAGACAATATCCACATGAAGATCTCTGCAAACAGATGCTTTGTTATTTAAAATACATAGTTTAAGCTAAAGAAAAAACTGTTCTGTCATTTGCAATAAAATTACACATATTTGTTTAAATTTTCTGAACTAAAAATAATTTGCTAAGAATATTTTCAGGAAGTGATTTATTAAATTGGATAAAATCTATTGAGGAAATAACAACAAGTCCACCTCCATATTGTCCTGTGGAACCCCCTAATCTTTTTGGGATGGTCAAGGTTGATCTTGAAGTAAATACAGTTGAGGAAGTATATTCTACTGATCTTCTTCCTGGTGGAGAATACTATCCGTCCTGTAGAACCAGGTAGGTTGGAGCAAAGGAGGAAATAGTATCCGTCCTGTAGAACCAGGTAGGTTGTAGCTATGGAAGAGAATAGTATCTTTCCTTTAGAACTAGGTAGGTCAGAGCTTGGGTGGAGAATATTTTCCGTCCCTTAGAACCTGAAAGGTCAGAGCTAAACCTGAAAATATTATCCGCCCTGTAGAACTAGGTTAGTCGGAGCCAAGCCTGAGAATATGGTGGATAATATTATCCGTCCTGTAGAACTACTTAAGTCGGAGCTATGGTGGAAAATATTATCCATCCTGTAGAACCAGGTAGGTCGGCGCTATTGAGGAGAATCTTATCCGTCCTGTAGAACTAGGTAGGTCGGAGCTATGGAGGAGAATATTATCCGTCCTGTAGAACCAGGTAGGTCTGAGCTATGGAGGAGAATATTATCTGTCCTGTAGAGCTAGGTAGGACGAAGCTATGGTGGAGAATATTATCTGTCCTGTAGAACTAGGTTATAGGTCGATGCTACAGCTTAGCGCAACTAAACCTACCTTACCAGTCAAAGGTATCTATGTGCGCTAGAATGTCCAAAACTCCTTTCTAAGAAACCCGTGTTTTTACATTAAATATTGAAAATTTCGTAGATACTTTAAATTAGGGATCTCACTGAATTTTCTTGCATTTCCTCGCAAATTGTAAGCATTTTTAAGCGAAATAAAAAACTGCGCAAAAATGTGCACTCGGTGGAATAATAAGATTATAGTTTTAAAGATGTTTTGGATGTTATAGTCCTTTGCAGACCTTTTAGTGGAAGAACAGTAGGCTATACAATTGTTACTAAAATTAGGTTTAAATAAGTGACAAATCACTAATCAATAGGAACTGTTTACTGAATGAAAGTAGCGATTTTAAAACTATTTTTTTAGGCATTCTGTTGCAATTATTATAGCTTTTAGAGATAGGTAATATTTTTTTTTTCAAGGATTAATTTTTAATAAATAAGATTTGAGATATTTATTGATACGCAAAGTAAAATGATTTTTTAGCAAAGATAAATTGATTGATTAATTGATTATTTAATTGATTGATTTATTTATTGGATTGATTAGTTGATTGATTTATTAATTGATGGATCAATTAATTTATTATTTGATGGATTAATCAAATTATAAATTAATTGATGATTAATTTATTTCATGATTGATTATTAATTTATTAATTGATTGATTAATTAATTTAATAATTGATTGAATAACTAATTTATTAATTGATTGATTAATTAATTTATTAACTGATGGATTAATTAATTTATTAATTAATGGATTAATTGATTTATTAATTGATTGATTAATTAATTTATTAATTGATGGATTAATTAATTTGTTAATTGATGGATTAATTAATTTATTAATTGATTTAATAACTAATTTATTAATTGATTGATTATAACTATTAATTACTACTTAACCGGGAGATTAAGGGAGGATAATTAAATTGAGGGGAAAACCACTTAGCCGAGGGCCTCCAAGACCTTTTTGGGGTTCTAAACCTCAAGTGCGTA